ATGTTTTACTAAAATGTGACTGTTACCCTCTCAGAAGGTATACTTGAAACACTAGTTTCATGTAGGTGTGTGTTGTTTTTGCCTGCTCGAAATGTGGCCTTCTTTGAGATGAGATGTACCAAAGAAGAAGTAGTTTCCTGGATAATTCTCCTATCAACAGTAATTACGTAGTCTGTGTGCGATTTCTAGGTGTCCACTGTTTGGTTGGAGGTGTGGTTTCCTCATTTGGTTTGACACCCACCGACATCATAGCCACCTTGCGGACTTTGCTTGCGACTCGCGACTCAAAGAACGCCCTTGAAACCGCTCTCTTCTTGAGGTGATGGTTCCAACTTCGTGGCTGTGGGTTGGAGGTCATGTGACCGGTCGGTTGGAGGCCATCGCAGGTCAACGCCACAAAGGCTTCCAGACTCGCTGCAGGTGCTGGGTGCCGTCCCCCGGAAGTGGTGGCTGGAGCCTGAGAGAGCCTGTTGGCTCATTCCAAAAGACACAGACCATCCATGTATGGAAAAGCTACCTACATTAGGGTCATAAATGGGGTACGGTAAATGAAATTGAATGTATCGTACGTATATTATAACTGTTACAAACATCATGCGTTGTTTTGGATAGGTCCTTGAATCAGATAAGCCGAGGAGGAGCTAGGAAGAGCTAAAAATTCAGCAGGATGGAGCAAGGACTTCGGATAGGAATTTGGCATTATGGCATATTTCCGGCGATCTCAGCTCAGCTTCCAGACTCACCGTGAGCACTTCAAGTGCTTCGAGATTCCTGGACGGGAGGATACAGCTGGACTATGGTGGACTATGGAAAAGGATTAACCATGATGAACCAGGATCTTTGACATTCTTTCTTTGCGCAGACCAGTCTTTCATTTGCAACAGTCCGCAAACTTAGAGGGCTTATATACTATACTAGTAGCTTCTTGCTACTAGTAGCGATGCCCCTGTTACTAGCGATGCCCTTGTTACTTGCTACTGCACCCAGAATGCTGTTTGAGTTCCAAAAGACTTCTGTCAGACGCAGGCGACTCACAGGCTGCGACTCACGAGCGTCGCCGTCTTCACCGCCCCAGGTGTGTCCAATGTGACACGTTTCGACCCAAACGCGCGCATCATTGCAAGACCTGCAGGTGGGTTTGGTTGGGGGGGAAGCCAGGTGGGTGTTCTGTTCTGTGGATGTTCTGTTCAGTGGAGTGGTCTGTGAGGCAAACCATCGGTGGCGATCGGACGGAGACTCGGTGTCGGTGTCGGTGTCTTTCGAGACGTTGGACAGGTGTAGCCGTAAAGATAGCCGTTCGCCATGTGGACCGGTTTGCAATGAAGAGTTGGACGTCAAAGCGAACGTCGAAACCTCCAAAAGAGTGACCCTGGTCACGTTTGAACCTCTATACCAGACTACTCATGAGAGCACACATGCATGACCTCACAGGTTTCACGCATGAGAGCACAGAAATCAGCACACCTGAGAGAGAAAGAGAGAGAGAGAGAGCATACACGTGCTGCTCGAAAGCTGCATAGGACGACTATAATTGGTGGCATGTGAGTTTTCACCACAATGCTTTTACACAGACATCATAAAGGTGTTCCTTGGCGTGCAAAGTTGTAACAGAGTCAGCAGAGTTGATTGTTGGTACAGATGTGGTGCAGCTGATTGTGGTGCAGCTGATCCCACCAACGACCAATTTATCCCTTACTGTATACATGTCCTTGGTGAAGCGCATCAACTCCAAGCTGCCAAAGAACATCGAATCCCATGAATCCCCCCAGCAGTGCTTTGCAGATCATGCAAACATCGAATAGGTTGCTCCAAGAATTGGCAACATATTTGCAAGTGAGAAGTGCTGCTGACTTCAAACCAGCATGCTGATCCTGCTCAAGTGGTTATACAGCCTCAGACATTGCTGTTCCTCCAGAACTACCTCACCCAAGCTGATTGCGAAGTGACAAATGACACTGCCACACGTCTTGAGAAGCCATGTGAAAGCGTGTGTGGCAGTGATTTTGTCTCACAAAGAACTGCCAAAAAATGGTGCTTCCATCCAAAGATATATAATATGAGATGGTCATTGGCCTTAAGAACACATTTGGCCAAGTCCTACCACCTTCACAGAGGTTGCCTGGCAACACAGAACTGAGAAAACCCCTCTGGGGTTGTCTTACGAGGTGACAGAAGCGAATGGGGAGACCTCTCAAGCTTCTCCAAGGAAGTGTGAATAATAGGGAGACCTCTCATAGACCTCAGAAGAATGGAAATAGACCAAGACCCATGGCTTGGGGTCTCCCCAATAGAATACACACCCATGTTGAGAGGTTTCAGGCCTTGTTGAAACAGATTCCATTGCGCCAGACACACGAGGATGTGAGGGTCTGTGCAGCCAAGCCACCTGTCCAACTCAGCCAAGCCACCTCCAGCCCAGCAATATCCCTTTGATATGTTTCAAGTGCTGAAGAACTTTCAGTGTCTTTTTCTTGATCAGCAAATGAATCAAACACAAGCGACAGGCAGCACACAGACGCCTTTTGCCATAGACGACAAACAACCTTTGCCTGCTTTGCCACCTTTGCCTCTCACACAGTAAAATTTGTTTGAGAACCACCAGCTTGGAAGGCATAAAGGATGAACAGAAACAAGAGCAGCCACAGATGAATGACATGGAGGTTGAAAACTTGTGGAAAACATGAACCTTTGCATTTGAGGGATTGATGGCAACTCGGAAGAAGAAAACGATAGATGTATATAAGATCAAGTCCAATGCCAAAGCAAAGCACAACCTAAGAGCAAAGCCAAGGCATCTAGGTTCCTTCAGCTGGTTCTGCAGAAGTCAGCTACGAGCCTACACATCCCACAAAAGGTCACGTGTGTCAAGGGCACCAGGGAGACCTACACAGACATGCATTACCACAAGGCAAAGCTCTTCGCCGCCAACTTGGGTTGCTCCCATGAGCTGAGCTCCGAAATGGAATCCCACCATCTAGTTCAGTGTACAAAGGCTCTGAAACAGGATTACACCATTGTGTTAATGCAAAACGCAACCAAATCTGCGCGGCCAGCGCCCCACGAAATTAAAGAGCCGGAAAACCTCACATGTCCAACTTTGATGTTGAGTAAGCCAATTCAAAAGCGGAAAGCGGAGTGATAGCGGAGGAGAGACAGATTGCATGGGACGAGTTCGGATGTTTGTGGATATACGGAGGCCGAGCCCTCGGGAAAGCAAGGTTCGAATGACAAGAAGCGTCCTGAGCTTGCAACGATTTCTTCATGTGATAGCTAAGTTGATGTGAGTGGAGGTGGTTGGTTTGGAGGACGTGATGCGTTTTTTGATGTGTGTGTGATGGTCTAGTGCTTTTAAGGAATATAATGAGGGTGATAGTGAGCAGGAAACAGATTAGACATGATGATGATGATGATGATGATGATGATTATGTGTTGATTTCAGATGATCAGGACCCCGATTAGAGCCTTAAAATCCTTTGTCCGATTAGAGCAAGTTTGTGTAAGATCAAAGGCTCCAAGCCATGAAACACACTAGGTAGGACCTTAACGGTTTAGGATAGCTGATCTTATTATGCTAGGCATGCTAGTCTACGTAGTTTAGGTCCGGCTTCAGTTGTGGTAGGATCTTCTTCCACCGGATCCACCAATCAATGCTGCACATCGCCATGGCCAGGGCGTGTGTTCTAGAGATGGATCATCACTGCCCGTGGGTCAACAACTGCGTGGGTGTACAGAACCATAAGTGGGGGCACCGAGAAGGCGCCTCAGGCCGTGGTCGAGGTTGAAAGCGAGTTTCGAGTCACGGGGAGGAACACATTGTTTCTTCTTGTTTTGGAGTGCTCATGAAATACCAGAAGTATTTGGAAGATTTGTGGTGTTTTTGTAGAGGCACCCCGCATGATCAAAGGCACTCCTTAAGTTAAGCCAATTTGATTGAGTTTGACCTCCTCGAGACCGCACCACATCGAGCGAGGCCGCTGTGAAACCAGCCGAGCTGAGCCGAGCCGACAGGGAAAGAGACCTGACTTGGAGGGGCGAACATACACACAGTGATGGGTTGGGGCGTGATGGGTTGGTGCGCCCTCTTCATCACTCTTTATTGCCCTCTTATCCATTTGACACCTGTCACTGGGTCACTCAGATGGTTTCGACAGTTTCTACTCAGTGACTGGGGGTCTCTCAGTGACCTGGGGTGGAAACGACAGATTTGGTGCAAGTGGATCCAGACGCTGAAAACACTGAGGTACTTCATCCTTTTTGTGGGATATGCATGGCTTGCGTCCGGTTCTCAGGAATGTTTGAAGCCCAAAACCGTGTTTCGAGCTAACATGAACAAACAGTTCAGCCAACAAGCAAGGCCTAGGCATCAGCTTTGACCGAGCAAAGGCACAATCTTGATCACTTTGTCAAGGGTTTCACCATGAGGTTCCAACTATCTGACTTTATGTCATCACCGTTGTTCTTCATTGCTTGTGAGGTGACTTTATGAATGATCTCCAGTAACTCTCATTATTATGACATTGTGAGAATGAACACCAAAAGCCTTCCTTGGAAAAGTTTTGAACAAGTGACATGACCCTAATGAACAGCAATCAGCAACAACAGTTTACCTGGCCCAGGGAGTTTTGAGGCTCTACGTTACTGACGAACGGAAGACGCATGGACGTATGGACGTATTCGCACGTCATGGGCCTTTAAGAGGTGGCCCAGAAAAAAAGGCACTTGGGTTGCCAGCATCACTGGAGAGAAGAAGTACATGTTGACTCTCGGGGCAGAGGAGCCCGCGACCGAGCACATGACACATCCATGGCCCAGGAGCTATACGAGTACGTTTGAGTACGCCTAGTAAACGTCGCGACAGTATGTATGCCCTAGGGATCCTAAACATACGCTGACAAGATGATTGCAATGTGAAGTACCCTCTGGTTGGATGGAAAAACGTGACAGGCCCCGCGACAGTGCTCAGGCAGAAATGAACTTTTAACGCAAGCCACTGTGTCACTTCACCATGCCCTAGCAGCCAGAAGCAAAGAACTAATTAAGTATACACTAGGCTCCGTCACTGGAGCTGTCATTCCCCAGCCGTTCATGGCTCTTCTGCCTGAGTTGACAGATAGGTTGACTGCTCCCAGCAATGCAAAGCCTAAAGATACACACAAACAGTGCAACTTATAAAGATTACCATCAAATCCAAGAGACCCTACATAAAAACGCTGGATGGCTATGTACTCAACATTGGAGTTGTTGCCAGCACCACAAATGGTGGACACTCGACCAATGAAATCTTCAGGTTTGAAGCCCTGGTAAAAACGATGGTTGATGAGATCTTCCCGCTGAGCTAGTGCTATCTCTTGGAATGCCTAGGATGTGTGCTGCAAAAAAGCCTAGGAAATGCATGTCCTCACCAAACACCCAGTGGATCCACGGGGTGATTGAAGACACCTTATAAGGCTAGCTAATAAGGCCTGGCAGATCCCAAAAATTAGGGAACCAAAAAAAGAGACAAGCAGTGAGTGCTGAGTAATAGTCACATGGAGCTTCGGCCGGATCGGGAAGAGCAAAACGCCAGCAGCCACGGCCATATGGCTCAGGACCAAATAGTAGGTCAAACAACCATCACATTCCCTCTGAAGATCCATGGCCTCATCCGGCACCAAGAACCTTCCTAGCAACTCAGTCTTGCGATGCCACTCAGCCAGATGGAACCTCAGCTAATGATGTTGCAAGAGCGCATCCGATCCGATCCTTCATATACCAAAGAGTGTCCAATCACCCTCAGATTCATGACAGATTCCTTAATGACTAGTACTGTGTCTATTTCTGGCTGAGCACTGTCTTGTTTTCCCATCTTTCCAATATATGTATATATATATATATATTTGTTTGGGACCTCCAGAGGTATGCAACACTCAGAAATTTGAAGAGTGATGAGTGTGATTCCGTTGCAGTTGTTCCGTACTACAGCCAACGCAAACAACTTTGGCGGCAGACATCACGGCAGTTCAACATCTTAAATTCTTACCCACCATAACCTTTACACCAACCCAGCACAGCCACGTGCACGATGCCAAAAGGGGCATCCACTGGTCATCCCTGAAGCTCTCACTGTTTGCCAGTGCTACCACTTCATCACAAAGCCAGGCGAGCACACAGCGAGCCTCAGGCCCAATGGATACATGATCAAACACAAGGCTTTGGCCACTTAGACTCCGATGTAGCCATGGGCCGATGGAGAGACTTCAGGGGGACAAGGCGTGTCAAGAATTGCGAAGGGACAAGCCACATATATACTAGTATACTCCTTTTGGATCAACATACCCTCAAGCTCTATAATCTATTTAGGTTTCAGGGTCCAAGTACCTTCTGAGAAGCTATGTGGATCACTATAGGGGGTCATCACCAAGCCCCAACACCCAAAAGTAATATCAGCCTGGTTGCATTGTAGGCCTTGGATTGAAGCTCTGGCCAGGGATGGTTTTTGGAGCGCAAACGCCATGGACGGAACTTCGGCATTGAGTGCCTCAGCTGTAAGACAATGGAGATGTGGGATAGGATCTATCTCTGAGCTTTACCTTCAGGTCTGAAACCACTTGGTGGAAAACAAATTTACCAAAGAGTCAAAATGCCGGACCTTATTGGTTCTGCTCCATGTTTTAAACATGTCATAGGCAAGCAAGAGCCGATCCGGTTCATCCATGTCCAAACCTCCAAATATGTTGTCATAGTCCAGAAGCTTTTTGATCACTGATCCACATACCCACAGATCAGTGCCAAGGTTGTTCACATGCATTCCATCCCATCGAACCATTTGCATTCTAAACGATGGCAATGATAGCAAGGGACCTTATACTGTTGATTTGTTTCCAACACTCATCATACAAGGCCTATGTTTGAACATAAAAAACAACAACATCCTTGCCAAGTCTTAATCACAACGAAGTGTCTGAAGAGATCACCGTGTTTGCAACATTCAGCTAAAAAGCTTGGAGTGTCATGGCGGAACTCCGTTGCCAGCTTTGATGGAGCACTGACATAGCTGGGTTTCGTGGCCCTGCAATTATGGCAAATCATATTGCATAAATAGTTGCAAGAAAGTTGCAACCATTCCTGATGTTGACCATACTTGCAAATGTTAACACTTATTAATTTAATTTCTAGTATCATCACCAGTTGGGGCCATCATAAAAAGAACAACGACACATTCTGACCAATATCAATATTTCCAGTGTCTTGTTGCCATTTCCAATCGCCACGAATCTCACAGACAGCGAAAAAGACTCGCTCCCCACCAGGCATCAGTGCACCATCGAAGTACAGCGACTCCAAGGACTTCACTACCTGGATGGGGTGGGCCATGCTGCAGGTCCTACAGCTTCATCTATAATAATCTAGAATCTAGCCACTAGCTCATATGTTTTAATCTTGGTTCATACAAGCTGCAGCTTCCAAGATCGCCCTTGTGGTTGGAAAACCCGCTTTCAGTTCCTGACTGGAAGGATACAGGGGAACCAAAAAATATGGCAACAAACACATATATATATATATAGCATAGCGGTAGTTGGAGTCACAACTCAAAGAAAACTGAACAGGCAAAACTGTGTTGAAAGTTGAACAAGGGTCTGAACGGCAAATGCTCAATGGATAGCAGGATTCAACAGAATGCTTCCTCTTGTCTAGAATACTTCCCAAAGTAATCAGCATCACTTCATCCCCATTTTCACGATATTGAGCTTCGTCGCCAGATGGACCCTAGGATTGAACCATGTGGTGGATGGGCTGGATGGGTAAGAGTAGAACTGGTCAGCTCGATTTCTTGAGATGTATATTGATATCGATATACATATATATATATGTATATCTAGTATATCTATATCTCTCGTGGCCATAAAAATGAATATCAGCTTCAGTCAGGGCACACCACGGGAGGACATCCCAAACATAGCAGTGCAGCGCATTGCAACTTGGATACACGCACTGATCGGGGAGCCATGGTGCAAAAGAGGCAGAAAGCTCAGTTCCAAGATTAAACTGTTTGTCCCATGTACACTGAACAGCGGAATACACTAGTGTTAATTCCTGCATGAAAATGTCAGTGCATCCAACAGGTTCATGACTGAGCCAAGACTGCACAACATGATCAACTCGCTCACCTTTTGTACATCAATATGGAACTTCCTCAAAATACATGGTTTAAGCAAATGAGTCTCACCATCAGGCTCATTTGGTTTCACTTCCATGGCCCTTCCCACCAAGCACGGGCCAGAGAGGGCGTGGCACCAGATCTTTTGTCCACAGCTTCACCTGGCATGGAGGGACATATGGCCACAGCAGAGCAAAGTGATGCGTAATGATGCGTATTTGCAATATTGGATATCCAGAAGGTGGCCCATATAAGAGAGATACTTCTTTAAATATGTAACAGGCTGCTCTAACTTCACACAAGCCTGCCTTTGTGTACTGCCAAGCTGGAACTCGAGGAGTCTGACGGACGACCTGCGAGGGCTTCTTTGACAGAGTTGCTAGGCTCAGCGTGATTTGGGGGGGCAGCTCTTACAGTAATCACCACAGTTGCTACTAAGAGAACATGTATGTTATGAACATGGGCTCTCCCAAAGCTCAAGCAACCTTTTGTAGCCCCAAGCTGAGTCAAGCCTGCAAACGTCAGACCACCAGGATAGGATCCACACACTGCTGTGTACGTGGCTGGGTGTGGCACACCTAGTAACACTTAGATAGTGAGATCATCTGTAGCCATGCTAAATTCAGATTGATGAACTTGCACCCAGCTGGTAACTTCAGCAGAGATGTGCAATATCCAGTTGACCTTTGCACCCTCACAGCCACCCACACTTTTGTCATTCAAAATTAGTATATGTGAGATAGACAAAGGTGTAGTTGCGCACGGAACTGTCAGCACATCAGCACTTTGTTATATGTTTGCATAGTATTGTGCTATGACACTGGATGGACTGGTGGCAAAAGAAATCTAAATGTAAACCCTTTCAGTTTCACTGGTCAGTCAAATCCCTCCCAACGGGCAATGTACTTCGCCGCAGGCCACCTGGCTTGCAAGTTGAAATCAAATCAATAAAACATATCTGCATGTTCATATGCATGCATTAGATGACAAGATTTGGTAACAGTGATTCTCTAGAGAAACTGATGCACATGGAAAACATGACAGGAGCACGCAAGTTCTGGCTTGCCCTCCCACGCAACACAAAAACTGCCATTTGGATAGGGTTCCCTGCCGTATTTCTCAATCACCCTGTCCACAGCAGCTTTGCCAACATAAAAATGGCTTTGGTACAAGACAATACCGATGGTGTTGCCACGGCCCCCTGGATCACGAGCAGTGAAACTCCTTGGCGTGATCTGGTTTATGTACTAATCAATGAAAAAAAACAATAGTTTAAGAAGTTCATATGCACATATACGCAACTGTTGACTTCCTTGAGGTGTTCAACTTCAGTTTTTTGGATACAAGTATCTTCTTTGGAAAAGTATCAGCTGGAAGAACCAAACCATCCAGCTTGAGCTCACGTAAGAGTTTGAGGTTGCTTGCTGCCTTTGTTGCCCTAGGGTCTGGCTTCATCTTGGCATTGGGGCTGCCAGAGCTGGCTGCAAATTGCTTTGCCCTTGGTGACAACTTAACTCTGGCCCTCTTCACCTGAGCCTTTGGAATTTCTGGGCTGGGAGGCGGTCCCTGGGTGGTATCATCAGCAGCTGAAGCCAATTCAGGATCCAGCTTACGCTTGACTGCACGTTTCCTGCCATCAATCGCCTTTGCTTTTGCCTCAAGTTTTTCCAACTTTGCCTTTGCCTTTGCAATTGCCGCCTGTGATTTCTCAACCCGTTTGGTCTCAGCTTCCAATTTCTTTTGTTCTGCTTTGTCCTTTGCCTCTTGCTCTAATGTTTTCTTCAATTCCCTTTGGGTTGACAAATTACCTTCCACCCCTTCAGGTGACACCACACTCTTGGCTGCAGCCACAACATGGGGCGCGAGCACAGGGGGGTTAGGGATCAACTCACCCTTGTCCTTCATTTGCGTCAGTCTCCTCCTCTTGGGCGTGGGTGGTTGGGCTTGTTGGGATGATGCATCACTCACTAGATCACAGACCTCTGCTGGTGTGTCAATGACAGCATCTTGTGAGGACAGAGATACAGCAGGTCCAGGCCCAACAGGTTCTGCAGTAGCCATAGGGCCATCAACAGGAGCCTGTACAGGCAAGGGGATAGACAGTAAAAAACACATAAGCAATCAAAATAAAGATTGTCATATATGAACTATTGAACACGTACACAAGCCAACAGACTCTAAAGATTTATGGTTTTGGTTTCTTGCAATTGCAATTGGTATAAATAGCTAGGCCTCCATAGCACCTGGATATCGATCAAAATAGTTGCGTACGCGGATAGAAAATGGCACAAAGGCAGACATATCCTGCAGGCACTGCCAATATTTTCACCAGGTGCCCCACCAATGTTCAAAAAAAACATCACGTGTCTTTTGCACAGGTTGTGTGACATATCACTAGTTGAGTGGCCTCTTCGCCATGTCCACCACTCGATTCAGCATGATCAACTTGGACAGTATTGTCCGTGGGAGCGACAGGGTCCTTGGGCAGATATAGCTAGTCCCTAGGGATCCAAGTACCTTGTCAGAAGATGATTGGAGACACTATGTAGGTTTGGAGGGTCCAAGCACCTGGGAAGGTACTTGGATCCCTACAAAGTGCACAACAGACAAATGTCACCAGTCAAGTGGCCTCTATGTCATGTCCAGAACTCGGGTCATCGTGACCAACTGGAGCAATCTCCATGGGAGCCACAGGGTCCTTGGGCAGATGACTTGCACAAAATATTGTTTTCACTGTTTTAAAGTCACAAGCTCAAAAGCAATACACAGCAATACGTGCATACACAACACCAAAAGTGAAATTGAGCTTCGTCATTCATAGTTTCTTCTTTGATCATACGGTCACTTGCAGGTGACTCGTCAACCAAGTTCACATGCGTGATGATCGGCTCATCATCATAATCAACATCCAGCAAACGCACACACTCGTCGTCCTGCGTGGTGGCAGGTGCACTAGTGTTGCTCTAGTCTAGTACTGCTGGCATGTGTTAATCTAAAAAATGTATAAAAGTTGAACTTTGTGGCCATTGCCACCTCCACTGCAGGCAGTCTAGCAGACTGTGTATCATCTTCAACTGCCATAGCACCCACCTGCCAACTAACAGGATTTGAAATATAAATGAAAAAGACTAGCTAGCAGCTAGCAAGAATACTATATCAGTCAAGCAGGAAACCAAAAATACATATGTCTTAAGCACCTTCTCTGCTTTGATGGCACGAAAGCTGGTGACAATGCTCTTCAGCACTTGAACTCTTTCGTTCCTCCAGGGTTCCAAAAAAAACACAAAGAACAATCGATACAATGAACTTTTCACATATTGATGTAAAGGAGTATTCATATCACACCTGGATTCAGCTGTCCGGTTGGTGAGATCTCGCAAGTATGTCAAGAGCTTTCTCAAGCGCTGAGCCTCACAATTTGCCCATTCCTCGGTGAAATGTCAGGGTGCTGGCCTATGAGGCTTCATCCAAAGTAAGTTGAACCAATCGATATATAGCTAATGCATGGTCATGCATGTTAGCATAATTTTATTGTCAAGCATCCCGGATCTTGCCCTTCCCTCCACGTCGAAGATGCAAATCCACATGAAAGTTGCTGCGAAGGGATAGTAGCAGCAAAGCCCCCTGAACAGATGTAGTTATAACTGGTCAATGCCATATCTGAAGAAAAACACACACACAGTTTGTTTCAAAAAAAAGTGTCTAATTAATTACATGATATGTGTAAAAGACATCAACCCGCCTCAAACTCTGCCAAAATTGGAATTTCGTGTGTTGCATCATCTTGCAAGTACAACTCAAAGCATGCGTAACACATGTCTTTCACCAAAGAGAAGTTGACCGCCAAATCATTTTCAGTAATGATTGCCCGAAGACGCTCTTCAAACTGAACCAGCTGTCGATCTGGAGTACTCATGATCACTGGTCCCCTCATGGCACAATGTTGCTGCAAGGGTTCAAAAAGCTGTAGGCCAATAGCCTAAGCCATCAAGATGGTTGAAACTCAAGACAACCTGTTTGCGAAATAGGACATGGATTGACACAATTGCTATATTCCAAAGGCAAGGAACACTAACCTTGAAACGCATGGGTTTGGTCACATGGAGATCCTGCCCCACCATGTGCTCTTCGATCACTGACCCCTTCTGCGGCATTGCCCCGGCCAAGGTTGCAAGAGGATGGAACTTGCTGAGCCAAACTTGAAGCACTTGAAAAGGGATGGCCAGCTGATGCGGTGGTTGGTCATGATGGTGTACACTGATCCCAGAAAAGGAGGGTGGGTGCCCATGTGGGTTGTTCTTACATGCTGGGTGATAATATGCCAGGGATCCAAATATATATGCTATATCCAAAGTCCATGTCAGAGTTTTAAATGCTCAATGCCACATCCGATCAATGAGTGGCCATTCAACTCCCTCCAATTCCCTAGCTCTGACACTGAAGCAGCTGTGGCTGGAGATCGGATGGGCGCACCTTTCAATGCATGGAGCCGCAGCAGGCCCATCTCCCATGCAAGTTGAACCCGCAAGTAGTAGATTCTTTTGTGTTGGCCTCCAAAAATATTGAATTCTATTCTGAGTGATCCAAACCTCAATGTGGCACGTGATGTGCTGTTTGGGTTTTGCCACGTTTTTGAAACTATTGTGCTCAGATGTGGGAGCCACCAGGCCTGCAGTGGCCGAGACCAAGATGCAATACCAAAAACAGCTGCTTCTCCCATTCCATCAAATCCACCAACTCTGCGGTTTTTAGAAGTTCTATGCTTCTAGGCCCCAGGATTGCCCCAGCACGGTCTTGGACATGTGGGATGTCCCGCGTCCATTCTGAGAGAACTTTTGGCCGTGTATAGCCTCACAGACCACACATCGAAGTACCTTCTCAGCATGTACTTGGATCGCTAGGGATGGACAGCAAGACACAGCATAGAGGTCGGACGAACGTTGCAAAGTAAGCACGTGAAGCGCAAAACCCAGATTGACCACAAGAAACCACAGTATACAGCAACTCCCCCTAATCCAACGGGCCTTTGTCCACGATAGTAACAGTGGCCGAAACGAAGTTGGAAAGAGGATCACATGGCTGAGTAAAATGGTCCAAGGCTGCGGTCGGCTGAGTCCAAAACCGGATTGATTGCAAACAACTTGTTCAACACAGAGAGTGGTCCTCGAAAGCCCAACCCCCCCAATTCCACAAACATGGTGTTTATGCTTACGACGCTAATCCGGAGGCCCTGCGAATGCGGCCTAACATGCGAATTTAAAAACACTGATAAAATGGTGGAACAGGCAAGCAAAGGGCAAGCAGAATGTGGCAAAAGGGAAGAAAGGAGAACACACAAGGTATGCTGCACGATGATGTTTGCTTTATTTATTTTTGTTTGTTGCCTCTATATGCAGATGTCCTTCAGTTTTGTGGCCGGTCGGCGTGCTCTCAAACTGCATGAAAGTCGAAAGATCTATAGTTGTACAGTTCACTACAACATGCAAGTGATGCATGCACAGCTCGTGCAGATTTCTTCACAGGACAAGACCCTTCCGTAACTTGAGCCCAGATGCTCCAACCGGGCCCCAAGCTGATGCCAAGCTGGGACCTCATTGCGAGGTGCATCTCCTCGGTGGCCGTCCTTGCCGTTGCGCTTTTTCAAGTCCCTGAGGACAGTGGAGGATGTGGCCGGAGGGTTTGGGGGATGCAGAATGCAGGAGCGCAACTGGTGAGTTGCAGTCCATTTTGTTTGTTCTAGCAAGGGCTTAACTGGCCCCTATTTTCAATACATGTTTAACAAAAAGGGGAGCCGTTGAGCCTTCGCAGGGATATTTTTGGCGCTGTTTCTTGTGTAAGTGTTTGCCTCAGAAACACTCCCCAGACTTGGTCCTCCGATTTGAATATGGGGTCCTCCGAGTGAGCTGATGTGTCTCTATGATTGCTCTGTGGTTTCATCATAGCAATCTACCGTTGGCGCGGTGACTCCGATCCCTGCAACAGTACTGTGCAACTTTGGTTGGATTCATCAAGCTTTGTGGCCCTCAGAAACCTTTGGAAGATGCACTGTTTGGTAGGGTGACGTGGCTGTGAGAAACCTCCAAAGCCTGGCTGGACCAAATTCATCTAAGAAGGGTTCCCAAAACATCCCAAAGCATGTTATGTTCATTACCATAATTTAATGCTGATGATTAACACAACCCATTGCTCATTACTATTATGGTAATGCCAAAGAGTTATATAGTAATGCTTTAGTATGACAATAAATTACATGTGTTTTGTCTTTTTGACTCAATACTAACCACTTGATTCCCTTTGGGTGTTCACTTCTTCCCCAAACGTTCCCCCACCGAGTGAGCTGGCACGGTCAAGGAAACGGGCAGGCGGCGACATGTTTGGGGGTCCGCGACTAGCGGGCCGTGGAAGCGGCACATGGAGGGGGTTTTTCTGTGTTTGAACCGCCACGTGTTTTGGGGTCCGCGGCACTGGGTTTGGAGATTCTAAGTGGAAACATCCACATATGAAGGCGGGGTGAGTGCTTCCAATAGGTGGGGCCCCTGGGATGGTTTTGGTTTACATCCATTTCCAGAGACCCACATGATTGAACAAATAAAGCACACTAAGGGTTGAGTTATGCTCATGTGGCTTTTTACTTGTTGTTATATTATATAATATATACCTAGCGCTTCCAATGGGTGTCCTGTCTGGTGACCTATAAGCAGTGTGGGGTTGTCCATTGGTAACCCCGAACGGAAGCAGCTGGTATGTGTGTGTGTGCTTTGTCCACCTTCCCCCGCTTGCCGGGCATGACCTGGACGCCGTAGGGGGTGTCGGAAGGGACTCTGCTTTTAGCTTTTGTGAGGAGATTTTTCGCTTGGAGATTTCAGGAATTTCAGCTCCAATTAAATGGCTTTCCAGACTTCACTCCAACACTGGCTGCATTGAAGATGATCAAGATATGTCAAGATGTTTTTCCCAGGCCAGGTGTCTTCCCGGACTGCGCAGCTCACAGTTTGGGTCAAACACAAGCCAGTGCAAGGCCTTAGCAGGCAAATTTCAAGATGTGAAGTGCCAGGTGGCCTTCACCCCATACTTCACCCCATATACAGAATGATTCGTATTCAGAGCAGATGCAGACAATTTGCAGCGAGGTTCGGTTCACCTTTTGTCCAGGATTTGCAAAGATGGGACCAAAAAAGCCAGGAAAACCACGAAGCCTGAGCTTGTTCAGTGTTTTTCTTGAGGTCTTGGAAAGTGAGACTTCTGACATGGGTTCAGTCTATCCCACGCGAAAACGGGAGTCTTCCCGTCTCAATCAACAATCCACACGTTCCAGGCTTCATCTACATTCTTCGATCACAGCTCAGTTCTTGTCCGGGACCACAGTGCGCTCGACGAGAACCTCTCCACCGTGGGGCCTCGGGTTTAGAATCAATCTCCGCAGGGAAGAGATGTGTAGGGGAACGGATCTGCGAGACGGATCCAGCAAAGCTGAAGCCTGAACGATTCCCGGCGACGGAGCCCATGTACCTTCAGAGATTCTACCATGCATGTCCTTATAACATCTTGAAGAAGTGCGGAAGTTGGTACCATCGGGTTCGGCAAGATCGGGTAAAAGGTATGGTGCCATGATTGCCATATGATTGGCTTTGGAGCATCCTCACAGAAAAACCGATACCTAGGTCGACCTGTATCCTGAAACAATTATTATACAAGTACAGTAATGAGCCTTGATTTCAGACATGAACCCTGAAGTTGTTGGAGCCAGAATCCCTCCATGTCGAATCCCACAGACTCCATGTTGTTGGAGGGATTCTGACCCTGAAGTTGTTGGAGCTGGAGTTTGTGCCAGATAATTCTTTTGGGGCCAGAATCCCTCCATGTCGAACATCGTAGCCATTGCGGATCATCAGTGGTCCATCACGCGTGGAACAGGGTCGTCTTCTGTGGTGCCCGCTGCCAGCGGACATTTCCCTGGGCCAAATACGCATGCAAAGATGTCCTTTCACAAAAGCTACGAACGGGATTGGGGAGATACTGAAGCAAAGATGAGTATGATACCCCAGATTTTTCAAGAGCTCCACAGAAATCAGTATATGGTTGATACTGATTTCTTTGCCCTGGACGGCACAGGGCGACCTTTGAGCTCGCTTCGACCTCATTCAGGGCTGGTCATCCTCGACAGCCTCAGGTTACAGCGGTTTGGATCGGTGATCCCCCAAGCAGAAACAGCTGCAAACACCAGCTTCGGGACAGCTGCAGAAATGGCCGACGGCGATGTTTGAGCGGCAAAGAGGCACTCTCAGAGATGAGAAGGTTGTTGAGCACTTGGTCTTTGACTACCTGAAGTGCTGTTCGGGCACACCAGTGAGGAACCAGTTCAGGTCTCTTCAAATCTTAATTGGCAAAAAGGATGCTCTAAGACCTGCATGTAGTCGGCATTCGTGGAATTTCTGGTGGAACCTGAGTCAGAATGGCAGTCCTGCAGCAGATGCTGTTGGGTGTTGGGCCACAAACATTACACTCTTGCAAGTGCCGAAGTGAAGAAGTGCGGAAGACCTTGGATCTGAGAAACTACTCGGGTCCTAAATGTCTCTGAGCCACGCTCGGCCATTGCTCGGCCTACGTCTTGGCGGTGTTTCTTCTTTGTGCCCTTGTGAGAAAGGCTAAGGATTGCTAGAATGATCTAACATGTATGGAGACGCGTGGTATACGGTATGGTCAAAACGAGTCAATCGTTGTTCCCTTTGAATCCTGAAACCTCCTGAAACCTGAGAAACGGCACACATTGGATGGACGTTCTTCCAGCCAAAGCCTTTGCCACCAATTGAGTGGCCTCGCCCCAGGTGCCTAGCAGCCCTGGCGGTGGCCTTCGTCTTCACGATCTTTGCCTCGGTCATGAGCCCCTCGTTGTAGTGGAGTGGAACGGCATGGGGGGTGCGGAAGTGACCGGCCAGGAGAAAGCGAGGATACTGAGATCATTCAGGGGGGGCAAGGTTTACTATAGATGTGCTGTGTGTTATATGTGTGTTTTTTTAAAGGATCATGTGTACCAAGTGATTTGTTGTGATAACATATTGTGTGTATATCAATATGGTTAGTTGAGCTCTCCTCTTTGATCACCTCGCCGAGACGTGAAAAACAGCGATGGCTTTTACTGTTCCGCGCTCTTACTGTTGAAGGGGTTCTTTCGGCTTGAGGCCTTCGCGGATGAGGCACTCAAGCGATCTCTATTGCTGGCCTTTTCGGAGTTCTACGTCGAACGCATTGTACATCCGACAGGTCCCAAGAACTGTGTGAGAGCACCAACGTCATGGACAGGTCATTTCGATCAACGCCGACCAGGTTTTTGGGTTCGCCGACCGGCGCCCTGTCTCGAACGGGCGTTGACCTCTGTCTTGAAAGCTCAGGCTGCGACCAGTGGACCTTCTTAGCAGAAGGTGGGAGTTTTTTCGTTTTTTTTGATGTGTATACCAGGAGCCTCAAAGTACCTCAGAAAATGGGTACAAGTAGCTGTTTTTATAGTTTTATAGGGCCATGTCCCATTTTCTAGAGTACTTTGGAGGGTCCAGGTTATTGTGTATATGATTGTGTTGTTTTTTTCTGCGGTTAGGAAGTTGATTTGAGTCACCTTCAGGAAGGGCGCAGTTGAACTAAGAAAGTGATCCAAACCATGCATGTAAGGCGTTTGAGGCCTCCCATTACACGTGAGGCAAACCAACCAAGCACTGTTACACATTCACGCAACGGGAAAAACCGATCCTATGCTTGGAACCGATCCTGTGCTTTGTCGTCCAAGATGATTGAACTGTATGTCCAAGCGATAAGCACTTGTTACACGAAGACCACCACCTGTAGACTCAGTGTAGACCCATGAACCGTTCGATAATTACATAAGGTCGGCACCTGAAAGAAAAGACGTCGAGTCCTTGATCCACGTTGGTTCATGCAAACCAGCAGCAAAGAGATGGGCTTCAGTCTGGTTCAGTGTTTGGATTCTCCAAGCCATGGCCCCTTAATAGGGATCCCTGCGGCCCCTAACCACGACATCACAAGAAAGCCACGACTCATTTGGCAGGTATGCAATTATGTGTCCCTATGGACCCACATACCCTCTGGGAAGGTGATTGGAGACACATTTATGTCACCAGGGTGTAAATTGGCACCATGGGTTTTTTTGTTGTTTACGAGCTCCCAGTCACGCGGGGGGGTGGCTGTTGGAGCTTTTGCTTCACGTCCACCTTCACGCGACATGTCTTCTTTGCCGGTTTTTTCCCCCACGGGCGAAGCCGGAGGCCACGGTGTGGTGGACCAGAAGCTCAAGAAGATGGGGGTGGAGAAGGCGAGAACGGCCAGAACCGGACAGTGCGACCACCGACTCGGAGGGATACGACAAGCTGACCGGTGCCAGCTGACCGCATGAGCGCTGATGAGGAGCGCACCTTGAGATCGAAAGTACAGCTCGATTTGGTCTAATCGTGTCTAATCCCTGCTTGAAGTCTTTGCCGTCAACACCGAGCAAGTGAAGGGTGGCACGTTTGGCACATATAATATAATATATATATACATGTATACATAACATTGCCATAAAGCATAGAATTCAATAATCAACAAGAATACAGAATACTTTCATGTTTGATGTGTATTGGAGTTGGTTCTAATTGTTTTTTCGATCATACTCTTTCAATGGCAATCTCTTGCCTCAAACACGTCGGAAGCCGGGTCTTTTTGGGGCAAAAGGAGATCCAGTGGCTTCAGCACCTCAAGCACTTCCTGGATAGAATGTGGTTTCGACATGTTTCGACCCTCTCCGAAGGAAGGACCCTTTCAGGACTCGGACAAAACATCTCTGAGACCATCCGACCGGTCGTCGGTCGTGTGGGTTTTGAACAAAGTTGACCTATATTATATATATATATATGTGTGTGTGTGTTCGACCCCGGAAAAAAAGAGCAGCCATAGTATGGAGTCATGGAGTGTTGAATCGTTCCGTTCCAGTGGGTTGTGTCTAAACATGGATGCGAAAATCTCCCAAAGGTCCGCACATATCCGCATGTTCCAAAAAGTCAAAATGCAAATGGATGGTGGTTAAATCCTTCGAGGAAGCTTTGAAGGAAGAAGGGAGGAGCATGTTTCAGGGTTCTCTTTTTGGGGTTGGTCCTGTTTACCAGCCATGCTGGGACTAGGTGTAATGGCCCCAGCCATTTGGGAATCCGTTCACCTCAAAGGCGCAGAACAGAATGTGCACGAATACAGTATCTAACAACAACCTACCTGGACCTTCAAGGGGTGTCCGATGGAGGTCCCTTAGTGGTGGCTTCCATTGGGCACCCCTTGGATGGTCCTGGTATATTGGATGTTTGTCCACCTTGGCGAAAATCATTTGTCCTTTGCAACGCTCACATTCGAATGTTAGATTCATCACGGTTGTTGAGAAGGGGACGACACCCTCTTTGACATCATCGTCCACGGCGCAGGGATGAAACATGGTGAGCCACTCACTGGTTACATTCTCCTTGAAACGTTTGGAGCCAGTCCTCAGATGAGCTGCTGGGTGCAGTGGTGTGTTTAAAAATCATGTCGTTTCCATTTGGGTGTGTGGTTTTTAATCCGGGAGACTCCTGATCGCCCCCTGGCTGGGTAGACTGCTATATTTCCCATCTTCCAGGGGGTCAAACTGGGAGGCCTCCTTATTTTGATCAAGTTCAATCAACGGACCTTTGTGGATGTGCACGGTGTCCTTCTTGAACATTCTTGAACAAGGTGTCCCGATCCGCCTGCGGCACGACAGGCACGGCATTCCCTTGGAGACGACCAGAGGCGAAGACGAGTGAGACGAAGTGGCGGACAGCTTCGCAAGTCGTCGAGAACTGGTTGATTGGTTGCTTCCGCTCCCAATCAACCATCTCCAATTTCAGCTTGGCCAGGGCTGAAAACCCAAGAGAGGTTAGGTAACCTTGCAGCCGTAACCAGGGGTACCCAACTGAGATAGTCGAACTAGTGTTCTTCAACCTCTGTTTGGACTAGCGCAGATGGATCCTTCCATCCCTGATCCAGCCACGAAGGGTGGACCGTGGGACGGTGCCAGCACAGCTTGACATGGCTCCGAAAGCAGGGTGACTTGTAGTCCGCTTTCCAGCATAAAAGGAGGAACAATCGAAGAAAAGTGCGAACCAGGTCGATGGGTTCATTCCTTCAGTTGTGTTCTTTTCTTCCTCAAAACAAATGAGAAAGCGCAGCAAAAGAAACGGTCGCGACCGTGTCCCGGCGACCTTCCCGGGACACCCTTGCGCTTGTTGTTTTTATCGTCCGCACCTAGGAACCGGGTGGTGCTGATTTGGTTGGTTTTCATTGACTTGAACGAAGAAAAGAGGAATGCATTGGTGGATAGGCTTGACAAAGGGCCATGTGGCTTGTTGTGGCTTGTTTCTGATGGGCACGGCTTTGCACTTTTTTGACCTCCAACCGCCAAAAAACAGACGCCTGGGCCTGATATTCAACTGAGCTGCCCAACGGCTACGCCAGGTCGGTCTGGGGGCAAGTGTCACAGGCCTGAGGAGTGGAGACATGGGCTGGGACCAGATGGTGAGGACGAATGGATTTGGAGGAAGTCGGGGCTTTCCCCAATCATCCAAGGCTCCTGGCCAAGCTTCCTCAGGTTCGGTGCTTTGACCCTCCAAACTCACCCCAATCACCTTCTCAGCAGGTAGGCCAGCAGCCCTAGATTTTGTGTGCCTATGATGGATGACGTACCGCGTCGTCGATCGTGGGTGTGGAAAACGACCCGATCGCTCACGGGTCACGTGACGTCCCACGTGACGTCCGTTGTCCGGTGAATCGTGGTCTCCCCATGACGGTGGAGGCGACCGTACGGCACCCGTCCCAGGACATCTGGAGACCGATCCAGTGTAGTTGGATGGATGGGGTGCGACGGATGGACCACTGTGACGAAGTCTCCAGTAGTAGAGCTGCTTCTCCTGCATTGTTTGGTGGGAATTTCCATGACCTTCCTTTCTCTGGGCCCTTGGGCCATCACAGGATTCACTTTCGCGGTTCCGTATAGATGCCTTGGAAGGTGCCTTGAGCCCTCCCATTTGACCCTTGAAAGGCTGTGTGTTTGATAAGAAGAAGACAGGCCCTAAGGTTTACCCCTCTTGGATCTTCAATCAACATGCATTCTCTTTCACCATGTGCGATACAGTTGCACCATGTCGCACCTGTCACTCCCAGCAAATACATCCGATCCCCAAAGTAAAGTCCACTCCACACAGATCTCCACACCTCTTAGTGCACAGCTCAGTCGTGAACAGAACAGCTCTGGGATCGACCTCGTTTCACGAGCCACCTGGAAGGTGCTGGGCTCTGGGGAGGACTTCCGCATATGGCCACCTGGAAAGATGGGCACATGGATTATGCAGATGGTCCATGCGCGGAGGGATGCGAGGATGGTCCAGAGCGGATGAATGGCTGTGTTTGAGCAGATGGTTCTGAAAGATCTAGGGTTTGCCAAAGCGGTTCAATCAGATTTACCATGATCATGTTCATGCAACTCTTGCGAAGGGGGGTACACCCTGAAGTACCCTATAGACAGATGTGCCTCAAAACTGAGTGCAAAACCTCAACATGTCCATGCCTATGGAGGAGCTCTTTTTGGAGCTCCTATAATAGTATTGTTCAAGGCCGGCTCCGGACCCGAGCTTCGAAGGATCCGAACAAGTCCCGTAAGGAACGACTGGTGGTACTTGTTCACTGATCAGCAGATCTGAAGGAACTTTTGGCCATGGAACTGGTCAAACAGCCCTTTTCTCATTGGAACAGGGTGATGTCCGTGGTGTTTGTGCAATGGTCTGTGTGGGGCTGTAGCACCGAGCAGTCGACTCGCGTGAACGTGTCGGTCGGACCGACCGAGTCCAGGACGAGGGTGTCACACGTCCCGACAAAACGGATTCTTATGGCCGAGGGCCACCTATGACCACCCAGACCCAACCAACCAACCAACCAACCAACCAGACCCAACCAACCAACCAACCAATCAACCAACCAACCAACCACCCAGACCCACCCACCCACCCACCCAACCAACCAACCAACCAACCAACTGATCACTCAAAATACAGGAAATCGTGAATGTCAGATACCTGCCACTGTTGCTGTGGAAAACCAGACGGACCGGGGCCTGTGTCCCCAAAATGGTCTCCCACATGGCCCCAAAAATTGTAAACGAGGAGCAGACTGGCAGCATAGAGCGCTTCACAAGCATCAAACTAGACTCTAGGTTCAGCATAGTTCGACCATTCTCCTTCAACAAGCTCCTCATAGGTATATATCCTAATGTAAAGCCATGATTAAGGAACCCTGCAATACTAACCGCCTTTCAAAAAGGACCTGCTTGACCCATTTTACACAAGTGGTACCTCACCCTCCCTCACCAATCCCCATCCCTTAAACCGCCAATTCACTTCCCTTTACGATCTCTGACGAAGAGCCCAGAACAGCAGACCGAACCGGACCGGATCCCAGACCTGACCGTCAGACCGATGAACCGAACGGTTTTTCATTGGTGGAGACGTCGGATATCCAGACCAAACCATATACAGAACCGTTGCGACCACCAGGCGACCGACAGAACGGTGGTCGGCGCTTTGGATGGAGCGGGGACCACCACCCGATCCATTTCTGTCGGCGAGCCGAGGTGGTTTTTACCGTGCGCGGAGCCATCAAGTTCAAAGGTGGGAAGTGGCTGGTCATGGGCAATTGAACTGCGATTCTTGACATCTTGAGTTGTTGGCCCTTGCAATTTTTTACTCGAAGGATGTTCGAGGGATGTCGAAGGCTGTGTTTGGCCGTTTTTTGCTGCTATTTGGTTCGAAAAGAAGTAAGTTCTGGTGGCTTTGCTTTCCGTCGGATCTTGGAAGGTTCCACCAGTCTCGGCTCGTCGAAGAACGCGTGGAGAACTGGCGCCCAAGCCGAAGGGCTCGACACCTCGCCATGGGCGAGGGGCTTTGCTGAGGGAGCGACTGAGGGAGGGTCGCCAGGGGGGTGTCCAGCGAAGGAGCTACAGGAGGTTCCCCAACCCCTTGCGGCTTGCTTGAATCTTCGACATGGCTTTTGGACTATAGGATCTGACACACGCCTCTATGCCAATCGCCAAACAGAGGTTGAATAATCCTATAGACTATAGACTATCCCTATAGGCTATAGGTATCCCCAGGTTAGAGGTCCGGGTCACCAACTGCCCCCTGCAGGTGCCCACGTGACGCTTCGGATCCTTCAGTGCGCCACGGGGTCGCGGGAGTCGGGGTCGGCGCAAGAGGTCCTCCTTCGGAAGGCGAACTGGCCTTCGTTTTTGTTGACGAACAGTTCGAGACGTCTCGAGGGATTGGGGATTGATCGTTGAAGACATATGTTTGGGGGGTGGGAAGAATGTGGTCGATGCGATATAGCGAGTATATGTTGGTCATGTCAAGGATCTCAGACCCCCCCTGCATTGATTGGCAAAGCGCAATCAGATCCCCTGAAGAGGGAGATTCTCAGAGAAGCCCCTGAATAAGTAGGAGTTGATTTGATCCATCGTGCAAGAGGGCATGTGGAAAAAAATGACAGTGGAGAAAGCCCTAAAGCTGGAGCCCTAAATCATCCCCAGTAGGTTGACCTATGTTGACCTCCCTGGTAGTCCATTCTGTTCATTTGACCCGCGGTCTCTCCCAGGGTGCCTGATGCCACATTTGTTTCTATCGAGTGGATTCTGATGTGCTTTCCATGTTCGATTTGAGGAGTGAAGTTGGATCGCCTTGTAACTTGGAATGAATGTTCCAAAGTTTCAGAGAAATCCTTTGCATGGTGCTACCGACTGTTGAAGCCATTGGCTCAATACCATGCAGAGGCGCAAAGGGACCTTGTTGGAACAAAACCACCAGCAAACCAGCAAGATCATGGAGTGACTGGTCTACTAGCTTTATATTGGAACCACCTTACTAAGGCGCTTTTTCGCCTTCCCAAGGTGCGAAGGGGTAGTTGCGAAGCAGTGACATCCAACATGTCGTCTTCCAATACTGCAAGAATGCCTTATATACTGAGTGAGTTCCTCAAACCCTCCCAACTGACGTATCTGAACCATGGACGGTGTCTGAAACATGATGAAACATCTTCAGATCCTTGAACTGGCATTGTTCCACCCTGGTTTCTCATTTCGTTCCGTCACACCGCCACACCACGCCACGCCACCCTCACCGCACGAACACCGGCGGCGATGAACGCCTCGAAGCGGCCCCGCTTGGCCTTTGCTCTCCGAGCCAAGCAGGCCGGATCGATCCGGGGAGGTTTGACCCGGGAGATCTCGGGAGGAGCCAGGGTGTTGTTGGATGGATGTGTTTCTTCTGGGTCTTGGGGTGGGAGGTCAGTAGACCTGGAGCGATGATGGTATAGATTGACCTCCCTTTAGACCCCTTTAATAGTAGCTTTCAGTAGTCTATATTCCGTTTTATTTTTGGTTGTCACTGTCCAGTCCAGCCGGTCTTGACCAACAGCCAAATGGGATCAAATGGGTCCAATTTTGATCAGCACATCGTTTCCATAAAGGAGTAAATGAGAGCTCAAGAGCTTCCATCGGGAACTTTGGACATGTGATATGTTGGGAGACTATAGCCACAACAGAGTTTGCCATGAACTTGAGAGATGTTCTTCGTCGTCATGGAAAGGGACATGTCCACGGTGATTTTGTTTCATCACTCAACACCACCTGTCTCCTGGGCCTGGCGAAGCATAAAAAGAATGGAAAGCGTGCATAAGAACGCTTTCGCCACAAAAGAGGTGTTTGTTTGTCAATTCCGAAGAGCATCGCACCACCGAAATCAGTTGGTCAAGTGAAAGGATGAGAACTCCAGGCTGGAGGATAGGAACATCCACTGCCACCTGTTCAGGAGCGGCGACTGGTCACGTGAACCGGGAGCGACCCGGAGATCACCGGGTGACCTCAGAAAAAAGGGTCAATTCCCCCATGTACCTAGAGAAGCAAGAACATCCAAGAACCCCAGAAAAAGAAAGAGAACGTCATACCCTGAACATACACTGAGATTTGTTCAAGAAAACACAAAGTCTTTCCATAGGTTTTGTCGGCCTCATGGACTTTTTAGACCCATCCCCGCCTATCCACCTAGCAGGCACGTGCGTTGGATGACACGCTGGGCGACGCCTTCGGGGAGGACGAAGACACGGCAGGTTTGGCGTGGGGGTGTCACCGTGGGGGTGGAACAAGCACTGACGTGTCAGCGGATTTGGGTCTCCAAGTCGATAAGACTGTTTGTTAGCGATGCCCTTGTTCCGTTCGTAGCGTCCGAACGCTCCGTTCGTAGCCATGCCATGTGAGGAGCAGTTCGCTTAATGTGTCGTATCATATGAGCAACCACTTTTATTTAGGGCTTTAATAAAGTAGTCTACAGCATGCTCTATTTGATTGCTATCATCAGTATTCGCTTGTGAACGAGATAGGGCCCCCACATAAACGAGATACTTTTGCTTGACGATATTGACGACACTAAAGTAGTCTGAACGAGATACTGTAGTTGCTACTAAAGTAGTCTAAACGAGATGGGGCCCCGACACAATAGATAGATATATAGATAGTGTATTTGAGCTTATAATACCAAATAAATGCCGCCACACAATCTGATGTTTGACGTGCTGAAACCGCACGGCTGACCCAAACTTTTCGACCCAGACCTTTCTTTCGGGACGTCTACTTGATGTGTTTTTTGGGTTGATTGGTGACCTCTGGGAAATTCCTGGTATCCTCTCATGGGATGGTGCCCTAGATATGCAGTTGATACCTTGACATGCTTAACCATCTCCCAATGGACTGCATTTGAGACCAGTCGTTGAGGAAGTCCCTTGGGAAACTTGTGTCATTGATGGTTCCTGGAGCAAGAAGGTCTCATCGTGCCAATGACTTAAACAAAAATCCCAAGGAGTGCAAAGGAGCGCTTCAGTCCGTACTGAGTGTCCTTTCTTTTGAGTGGTTTGGAAGTCATAATATGTAGTTGTGTTAGTTGTTCCCAAAGGAAGGACTCATTGACTACACTTCCTTTGGACTTCAGGACATGTCTGCAGCCAAACGCTCTTCGCAGAATCCCAAATTGTAATGGCTGGCATGGTTGGGCTGGATGAAGAGATACGAGTTGGGTCACTCCGGTCACTCTCCAGAGCGATTACCGCTGTAAGCGAGACTAGAAAGTGACTTATCATGTCTCATTAATCTTTTGACAGATAGGGCCCCGAGTACTTGAGTTCTCAACGATCTTTGGTTGGAGGTGGTACCAGCCTGGCTTTCAGATACCCCGAAAGGCAAACAGTAGATCCTACTTGCTTCGTCTCCAGCTTACTTCTCCTCCAGCAAGACCGGAGTTCCACCGGACGCGGGCGGAGGGACGTCGGCAGGTGAGCTCGAGCTCCCTCGGCCGGCAGTCCAAGATCCGAAGGTTGAGGCGCCGAACGTCGGTCGGGGCCGGGACGCTTCGGAACATGGTTCAAAACAAGTCTCGTCTAGTGCAGAATGGTGCAGATTCCTGTGGTGAGGTTGATTTCCCGTGTTCTTTTTTGTGGGGCACAATCCCCTGGAATAGGAGATATTAACAATGATGGTGTGTTAGTTTGTGCATAAAGTATCCTTGTCCGGGGCTCCTGGACTGCAAATCCACCAGATGCTTGCCACGATGGTGCCTGGTGCCATCCCGTGAACCAGCAGGCAACGGTGATGATTCTGGGCAGCATGTGATCATGTGAGAAGAGTTCTTGGCCCGCAGCTGGCCGAATGAGGTCCGCTGTCAAGGGCCAGATCGAAGTCAGCATGCACATGTGTGAAGCTCCATGGTTCCGCACGAACCAGTTCCCAGCACTTGGTGAAGCTGGTGTGTTTTGTTCCAATTTGTTTATATAATGCTTTTAACTTGGTGTTTTGGTGTATTGAGTTTTCATCTGGCTTGGCACACCCAAGCCAACAAGTGTCTCCACTTTGTCCAATTGCGCCTTGGCAACTTGGGATCCTTCATTTTCTCCAGGATTTCTCGGAACAGCTGAAGAGCTCCAGCGAGGAGTTTGAGAAGTTCCGAAGTTCCTTGCGTGGCTGTGGCGAAGTGGTTGGGTTTGCGGTTGCGTTGTTTTTTAAAGCTTGAACTTGAAATGTAGCTGTGCCATCAACGGGAATACTGAAATGCACCCTTAAAGGCGATGGTGAAAGAGCTTTTTGTATGAGGTCCCAGGGCTCTTGGAAGAGCACGTTGCTTTGGGCCCCAATTTCTTTGTTTGACCCGTGATTGATTGGGGCACGTTATCGCCGACTAGTGGCAGATTCATGCGTCGTGTAATGTAATGTCATGGGGATTTCTGTTTTTTGTTGCTTTGTCAGTCTTACAGTACTCAGCTGTGTTTATATATGTTGATGAAGTCTTGCTTAGCTGTGTGATTTAGATAATATACGTATGATATGATATGATAGGATTAAATTTGGTAAAAAGGCACCTATACTTATATAAAAGAGTTGTGACTTGGGCCATTCCTCTAGACTTGGGATTTAGCACCATCTCCAGGAACCTGTCCGCAAAACATAATTAAAAATAAACAAGCTGCCCAAGCTGGTGTAGCCCATTTTGCGTGCCATGTACCATGGCAGGTTGCAAGTTTCGGGAACCTTTGGAGACTTCCAAGCTGCCTGTGTATGTGCTTTCGCCGAGTCCAGGGAGCAAGACTTCCGGCGACCGTCGCCGAAAGATCGCCGGGTCACTCGGATGTGACCCAATTAAGGGAGTTCCCCTACCATCCCTACCCTGACAGCCAGCCATAGGCTGCTTTTGGCAGCTACCTGGGGCTTATCCTGGTACAGACTAGCTATATGTTCGTCATGTTTCTGAGGGTTTTGGGTGTCAACATCTGGCAACTTGCTTTCCCCATGTCGGATCATGTCGGATCTATACCGGGTGCCCCCCAAAACCCATGTCCTCCGCTTCGAACCGGCGTCGTCCGATCCCCAGGTGCGCAGCATGGCCCGCTCTTCCGGCGCTATGCGAACCTGCGGGCGCCGGTTTCGGCGAGCCGTTTCGTTGAAAGACGTCCGTGCCGGGAGTGGGTGAGCCACTCCAAGAAGAGTGAAAAGGAAGGGGAGCATAGACTAAGACGAAGTGGAAAGAAACAAAGGAAGAGTTCCGGAGGGTTGAAAGGTAACTATGCGTAAAAACATGGTGAGGGCGGACATATTCTTCAGATAAGCAACCTTTTGGGGTAGAGTATAAGAATAGATAAGCCCCACGGCCCCCTGCTTGGGTCTAGAGACATCGCATAGAAGGCAGAAGGCGACAGGAAACAATATTGTTCAAAGTGCTTGAGTTGTTGCAAAGAGACACACATGGCTAAATCGTCTCCGAAGTGGCCCCTCACAGTTCAAGAGAAATAGAGATCTGCAACACTCCATTGAAGATGCAAGCAAGCCGTGCCATGTGCAGGGAATTTGATACATGCACCTGCAAAGGATTGTGGGTATAGGGTTCTAGGTGTACGGTTTTTGTTGGAACCACGGGTGACAAGTCTGAAAAAGATGGTTCATTCAGGTGGAGCACGGTGGAGCAGTGCGAATGTAACAAGCTCGACTAGTTTGAAAGTACTCCTTGACTTTGATATGCCTAGCTGAGTGACTAGCTTTGTTTGTAGGCCATGATCAAAGGGTCTAGACGGTCTGACCATCACCAGAACCTGGGACAAGTTGAGAGGTCTTCGAATCGACTCCAAAAGTTGTTGAGCGATCTGCGCTGTTCAGAATCGCTTTGATCTGCCAGAACAGCGAGCGCGGCGTGGAGGGCGTCAAGAGCTCAGTGGACCGGAGGGTCAAGGTGGATCGTTCCAAATGGCGGTCATGGCACCAGGCTGATCTCCCAGGTCGTCTGTTCATCTAAGTGGGAACAACCGTCGGGTGTCCCGGTGACATGACCCACCAAATGCGTATCCAAGGGGATGGGTCTCCGTATCCATGATTTTTGGGGAGCTCGAAGCCTTCCACAAGGACGAGGGCGCATTTCAAGAGTCATTGGAGAAGGGCCCTGTATGGAGGTTTGAGTTGAGCTTCCCTTTGCTGATGTTTTATTTTTCCTGAATAGGGTGAGCTGGGTCAATCCGCTGGCATGTGAAAAATGGCTTTCCTGGCTTCTGGGACAGCAAATCCAGGAGGTTCTGAAGGGCGACCATGTTGGATTCCATCACCTCCGACTCCAAGTAACACCACGACCTGGCCTGGTGTCAGTCAGAGCATGGCAACCCATGTGCCTTTGAGGCTCCTGGCCGACTTGGTGTCGGTTCGGTGTTTGGAAAAAAACAAACAGAGTAGCTTCTCAGATTTCTCAGGAGGTACAGATAGCATGGCCGCTTGGATGACCATTATCCTCTTACCAAACAGGATCAAACAGGTGGCTTTCCACTTTCACGAATGATTTCAGCGAGTGTAGTTGGAATCGTTTGTGCACGGGCGACCTCACTCAGACGAAGGGCAGAAGGACCAGCGCCGGCCTGTCCCGCCTTGGGTTGTACCATAGGAACCCTGGCTCAATGGCTTCTGGTCTATTTTCCTTCTTCTAGGGGGTCGTTGCCTGGGAGGTCTCCCTATTTTGTGACTGAATGTCCCTGCTTTTGAAAAGCTGAAGCTGCGGAGTAGAAGGCAAAAGGAGGCTGGTATCCAGCATTGGTTGCGTGCTTTCGTTGTGGCTGTGACATGAATGACAGGATGTTTGATATGATTAAACTATGGAATCGCAAAGTATAGACCTGATGGATATGCTGGCAGGCACCAATGAGAAGAAGATTCATCACAGAAGTCCTTTATTTGCCACTCAAGGTTGTGAATTAGACCGATTAGAGGCTCTATTTGAGTTCATTAAGGAGTAGCTTGTTTCGGTTGAGAACCCCAACCACTAAAGTGTTTGTTTATACTTGTTTGTGTCTTTCAGCAGGGTTCCCAGTTGTCAATAGATGGCTCCAGTTGTTCACTACTGAGGCTAAGCCTCACACGAGTTTGCTGAGCCAAACAGTCGCTGCGATGGTCACAGTCCTCAGAGACGAAACCACCGGGTATTCTTCGACGTTTTCCTTCGACGTCCACCGGGTATTTCGCACGATTTCGCAGGATGCATACACATGCCGCCTGCTTTGGTGTTTTTGGGGTGATTTGTCATGTTCGTGAACTGGGTGAATCTCCCCTTCCCGTTTCCTTGCCTAGTTCGGACCTGGGTTCACTATTGCTATATTACTGACATACTGCTTTCATTGGTATATAGATATATAGAATGGGAATATGCCACGGCAATTGCTTCACACTTTGTCTTCGCCAACAGACCTAATGGTCTTCAACCCACCCGGAAACACCCATATGGACTGCGCTCAAAAAGCCCTACTCAAAAAGTATAATTGGATAAACTTCAAGTTTTAAGTTTGGAGATGTGTTTTTAAGTCTTCGTTTAGAAGCGGGCCCCCAACAGACTATGGTGATACAGCAAGGCAGCGCTAGGTTGGCGCTAGGTTTCTTAACAGGATAGGCAGGCAGGAAAAAGAAACAAGCAGAGAGCTGGAAAAGAAGAAGCGAGACAAGAACAAGGAAAAACAAACAAATAACAATAATAATAAGAATGCACAACAAGAAGACAACAAGCAAGCAGGAAACATAGGAATCTGACAGGATAAAGAAATCGACGGAGGTTTTTGCGCTAGGCTGGCGCTAGATCCGCGCTAGACTCCTTTCACAGTTTTTGCAGTTGACATGCCTTCATGTTTAACATCCCTGTGGTTTGAGTGTGGTTGGAGTTTAAAGGAGATTTAGAAGCGGGCCCCCATGGAATTGCGATGAGTGCACCATTTTAGGAAAAGACATTGTGGAAGCCAACCATATACGGACCCGTAGGCAATTATGCGCATGTTGTTAGAATGCTGTTCCCGACTATTTGCTTCACCCTGCCATTTCAATTTGTGAAGCCTCCTGGCAGTGTGGCGTGGTTGGAGTTTGGTAGGGGGTAACCCAGATGCAATTAGAGGCCTTCACTTGTTCAAGAAACACAGTACAGCTGGGGCAATATCTCCATATTTCTCATGACATTGATGATTTGGGAGCCACGAACCAAGCACCTTCCAGAGTGGATTGGAAAGACGTATTTATATGATGAAACTACATGAAAATACGATTTCAAGATTGAAACTCACCTAACAGATCCTTAGCATAGGCCCACTCACATTGATCACAAATCAATCAAGAGTATTTGTTTCTACCAATTCAGTGTCAGGTTTCTGGAGACAGGATGTATGATGCCATGACCCACCCCCAGGCAATCCTGGGGTGTTGGACTGAGGTCCAGCTGGCTGACCTTCGTCAGGGGCCCTGTGATTTTCCTGTGGTGTGGGCTTTGTGGGCAGGGGTTCCTGGATGTTTTTGTGCGAAAAAAACGGTCGCTTGATGTGCATTCGTCTGATCCATTTTTCAATTGAGGACACAAAGCGACCGTTCATACATCCTTATTTAGACTCAAAGTGAAGAGCTCAGAGTTTTGGCTCCGTTCTGCGAAACCCTGTTGCCTGGTGCCGATGGTTGATTCAACTTACATAAGCTTGCTACAAACCAGCAGATCAGATGGGTCTTTGATCAGTCATTTTTGCTGTGAGATTTGACATGCAAGCTGCAAAATTGTGACAACACAATATCAAGAAATGCAAACATCAATGATGAAGTGAACATTTGAGAAAAGTATTGTTTCAATCATATGAAAAGGTCATCAAAATCTCAGGTCAACTAGTGTTTGTGATAGATCAGAAATCTACTTAGTCATTTGCAGCCCAGTGAATCAGTGAGGTCAATGCAAATACTTGACTCAATATCAATTTCTGGTTGAATAGTGTCTATAGGCGATCAGAATTTCTATTTAGATCCAGTGAATCAGTGAGGTCAATGGCAATACCTGGTGTTATATCAGAAGTTCTACTTAGTGATTTGGAATTGAATCGGTGAGGTCAATGCCAATACTTGACAAAATATAGACTTAGAAGATTGATGAGTAAAATGTTTCTATTGAAATCAACTAGTGCTGATTTAGGGCCAAGCTCAACCAAACTGTTTCAACTAAGTGGGAAAGAATGGTTACTATTGCCAATGGTTGACCTGTCTTGACCCTCTACCTTGAGAATCTGGTCTTTGTCATTGACCTTGACAAGCCAATGCACAAGTAAAGCTGCAGCAACAGCCCTTAACAACACAATATTGATTGGTTAGACTGACTGAGGATCCCAACCCTGAGGTGCAGCTGTCGAACAACGCAACATGGACATGTCAAGTCAACAGGTGAAGCAAGTCAAAACAAAGAGCTAAGAAGTCCAAGTCGACAAGTCGAGGCAAAGAGTCAACATGTTGCAGAGTCATCAGTTTATCATGTCAGTCACTGTGCAAAGGTGTGTTAACAAGTGGATCAAAGGACAACAATCAACGACAAGTCAATGCCAAGAACAATCAACTTTCAACAAGCCATGAATGAATCACTACCCGAGCAAACCAAAGGCTCTCAAATGCAGTGCATTTCATCTGCTGAGGACCAAGCACCAACAAGGTCTGTGACATTAGCTTGCTGTGACATGGGCACTGGCTTGCTGTGCCCACTCAAAATCTCCAGACTCTTGCCACCACTATTGGTTCAGAACTTTTTTTTTCATGGATGGACCATGTGTATTGGACGACTCCATGCTCCAGCTTTGTAGTTTGGAGGGACCATGTGACATGCAGCAATGTAACTAACATGAAACATCATGTCGCATCACATGTAAATGATCCAGTCACTGATATGGGTTTGTGTTTTTTTGGCGTGCACTTCCTGATGTAGTGGTCGGAAGTTCGACTTGAGCGATTCATACCTTCGAATCATACCTCGAATAGTACCCCTCAAAAATTGATGTAAGAACCAGGTGTTAAGGCGAAGCTTTTGGTTGGTCTTTGTGCCTTGTAGATGTCCATGAGCCAATGGTGCATGACGTTTGCAATTGTGTGATCCACGGGCACTCAATTTGGCCAAAATGGTTTGTCTTCTTGTGGGAAGAGCGAAGGCTCACATCCCAGGTGTACTGCTTATAATGTTCCCATGTGCTCTCGCTTGGGAAGAGTAGCCAACTTCTTTTGCAGAATTTAATGGCCACATGAATCACACCCGATTCATGCCCGATTCAGACCCGAATCGCGCACCTCTACACAGTCTCCCACCCATCCCACAATACAATTTCAAAGCTGCGAGTCAATACCTCTACATTGGGAAGACATTCCTGCAAGTGACTTCCTGCAAGCTTTTGCCAGTGTGAATCACCTGTCTTCTGTGCAGCGAAATGGATCCTCTCTTTGCGAACTGATGAATCGCTTGGGCTACGATGTCACGCACCGCTCCATGCATGCAACCCCACTCCCCAACTTGTGGGGACAAATCTGAGATCCCATGCAAGGCTCCGGAGTCACATGCATCTTTAGCGAGAAGCTCTTCGGTTTGGTCGCAGCTATAACCCTGGCTTGGTTGCAGCAAGACAATGAGACTACAGTGGGGCTGGTGCTGCTCTATCGCAAGAGTGTGGAGATATTGGAAGCGTGGCGCCAGACTTTATATGAAGGTTGGCAACGGCGGGTCACGGTGGCCACGCCCAAACAAGTTCAAGGTGACTGCGAATCATACCCCCGAATCATACACCGAATCATACCCTCGAATCACACCACCCATTCAAATTTCCCGGCCCGACTATGGTAAAAAATCCGCCCGCACCGAAGGTGCCGAGGGCATTGTGGAGGCTCGCGTCAACAACAATCGGAAGAAATCTACTAGATTAAATCTTAATCTTAAGATTTAGCTTGGGGGGGCCGTGTTTGCTCGGGAAATGCTGTGTTTTGCAGTGATTTTTGAAGGTTGATAAAAAGATATGTTTTTGGAGCAAGCGTTGGCGATGCCGGATCTGCCGGCCGGGCGAGATCGCGTTATCGACATCGCGGACGTATGTGCAACCCGGGGATACGCATTATTGACATCGTGGGTGTGTTTGTCCGTGTGTCCTGCCCGAGCTAGACACAGACTGACAGACCGATATGGGCACACCGAGACAAACACACCAAGACAGATGGACCGAGACAGACAGACCGACCGAGACAGACTGACCGAAACAGACTGACCAAAACAGACAGACCGAGACAGACAGGCCGAGACTGAGACAGACCAAGACCGAGACAGACAGACAGACCGAGACCGAGACAGACGCACCGAGACAGAACCCTCGGTGAAAAGGCTGGTGATTGGATAGGGCCATAGCGAAGTGCTTCTTCACGCTTGAGCCCGGTTAACATTTCCTCCCAGCCCCAAGAGCATAGGTTGCTAGTTCCCGGCTCCGCCAGCGCAGGTTGACACACTTTTCCCATGCATGTCTGGATGTATGTATGTCTGTCTGTATGCATGGATGGATGTCTATGTCTGCCTGTGCGTGTCTGTTTTCCCTTTACTCTGTGCGGGCGGCTTCGACCGCGAAGCGGTGTGAATACACACCTATATTTCACAACATCTCTCACTGCTCATCCTGCTTTGGCCATGTCGGGGTTGACAGTGGCACTTGCGTGGCGCTACTTGGAGGCCCTGAAGGTCCCTTGCACAGAGGAGCAGGTGCAGCGGCGGATAGGTGACACGCCGTGCTACTTGACAGGGGTATAGCAGCCTGCTGCTTGAGGATTTTTGTTGGCATTGGAAGTTGTCCATGTGAAGTGTCTGAATCACTCGGGGTTGCACGTCGGAAGTTGCAGGCTCAAGGAGGTGGCAGTAGTGAATGTTTGGTTGGCATTGGACAGATTCCACAGCCCAAACGGCCTCCACCAGCTCTCCCGGGCGACTACAACAACCCGGTAGGGGGCGCTCCGCGCCATGTCGCTCGAAGACACCACCCCGCTCCACCAGCCAACAGGCTCGGGCCTCGCACGATGATCCCCGCCGTGGTTCACCTTCACCCATCACCCTGCGAAGTCACAGCGGTGCAAAAACTCTCAGTTGTTCAGGCGACGTGACAAATGCCCTCAGTTTGATCGAGAAGTGCTTGTTGGAGCACTTGGGTGAGTCCACCACTGCCGCACAGGGTTTTGGCGCACAACCACACTGCCCAGGACTGCAGAGGCGCTGCCATGTTCATGGATCATATCACCATGCAAGGTTGGCCCAGCTGCCACGGGTATGATCTTCTTTGTGGAATCATACAAGCTCGGCATAACTGAGGCCCAGCGAATGCTACAAGATGGAGGCGTAGCCATGGTGAGGAGTGACTCCAGCACCTGCTGCAGCACAAGTTCATTCACAGCCATCTCATGGCCGTACTTTGGCTGGGGACTCCATGCTCCAGCTTTCTAGTTTTATGCCGATTCGAAGCCAAAGGGACCCAACAAAAAACTGTTTGGGAGATGTTGGCCTTGGGTGCTGCACTTGGAATATCGTGTGTATTGGAGCAGCCTTGTTGGTAGCTGTTCAATCTGTGAATATATAACGGAGGTCAGCCGAAGCTGACACGACGTAACATCGGAGAGTACATCAAAGCGGATCCAAGCGCACTGGGAAGTGCTGCCGCCAGTGTCCAATATGGCATGCGATGGGGGAAAGGTTTGGAGCAGATCAATGATGAGATTGAAGCCTGCCTCAACAATACCAACCGTCGCATCGTCTCCTACGGGGGGAATGACATTTGGGGCAAGCACGGATTTGTGGGAAATACGTGGATAGATTCTAGATCGGTCCACCCGAACCCAGCCGTGGCCCTCTCGAGCAGCATCCGAGTGGCAGGATGAACTGGCTCGGAAACATTTTGACCAGTTCATTCGCCTTTCAGCCTTCCAGACCAGGCCCGACGTCGGCGCGGTCGCGGTGATCGGATTCGCTGACGCCAACAGTTTCGGCCTCCGCCAGGATTTTGCACGACAGATGTGCCTATTGAGGGACGCAGCCCAAGACAGAGGCATTCTCGCCGTCACCGGCGCAGCCTTGACAAGAGCGACGACTCGGTACGACAATTACAAAGCAAGAAGAGGTCGAGCTCACTCCTGGGGATATCAAAGAAGAGGTCGCAGCTATTGATGCCAATGACGACGCGCCGGAAGAACGCACGGCACAGCAAAGTGCGGTGAAGAAAGAGGAAATGGAAGCAACAGGTCGCACAGAAATTGGACCTATTGAAAGTGGACATTTCCTTCATCTTCGTACATTCAGCTGTGTTGGCGGCATCAGTGCCGGCCGGCCATCCAGCAAGTTCATAAGTCAGGCGTGGTATGACGTGCCTGTTGGCATCAACGATTCGCCCGTCAGCGGCAAGCAAGGTCTTTCTGGCATCACGAAGCTATTGTTGGTTGTGCCTTTGGGGGCTGAGATGTGATGGGACCAAGACAGGTCAACCAAAAAAAAATATAGAATCTGACAGACTGGCAAAAAGATGGACGTGTGCAACAATATGCTGGCAAGGTGCTAATAAAGTGAACATGTGTGCCTTAATGAGTAGCTATAACAAATTTATGGAAAGGTGAGTGTTACTTTTTCAAGGCCATTCCCATCTAAACCCGTCTTATCTGGGGTGCATGTTTTGTTTGCTGACCAAAAGGTTCCTCATCCTTCATCATCCCCAACCTTCTTCACCACGGCTGCCACTTAAGCCGGGCGTCTCGGCCAGGCTTGGAGCGCCAGGACGATGTGCCGAGACCGCAAGATGGTGTGGCCGTTGCGGATATTGTTTGCTCCAAGCACCGAAAGCGAAGGGATGTGGACGTGGACCCTGTGAGCCCCCCAGCCCCACCGAACCGAAACCAAGGTAGGCCGTTGAACCCGAAAAATGCACGGGCATCCGAGGGTGCCCGGTGAATCTTGTGGGGTGGGAGGTGGAACAGTGGAATGTTCATAGGTCTTACTTCAATGGTACAGTCAAACTGTGCAAAACTCCCACCAGTCCATGGTTTGGTTTTTGGGTGACTGGGTGTCCAAGACCCCACCGGCGACTTCTTCCGCGGCGACCGGCGACGAGACAGGAGGATCGAAGACGGGGCAAGATGAGCCGGGAATGCCGTGGAATGTTCCTTCAGGTCCTTCAGCAATAGTTCAAAATGTTTGGCAAAGCCTTTGGAACCAGTTTGTGGAGCTACGCAGTTTGTGGAGCTACGCAGTTTGCGGCGTTCGAGACTATGCCTTCATCCCTTATATACCTGCTCTTTTGGGCGACCAAGGTCTACAGGACCATGTGAAGAGCTCAAAGAGGAAGGCCCAGGGATACAAGTACCTTCTCAGAAGCTACTCAAAGCCTCCAAACCATAACAGTGTCTCCAATCACCTGAGAAGGTACGACTGGATCCCCAGGGCCCACATGCGCTCAGTTTTGACGGGTCACTTCCTCCGGGTCGAGCCGCTCCACGCGCCGCTGCGCCCTTTCGCTACCCCGGTAAACGCCCTCGTTTCCAATCAGAAGTTCTTGATTCTGCGTTCTTCAAACAACTGCAAAACAAGCAAACCAGTGTTTTTGGTCACTGGTCGCGGATATATATATATATATATAAATCGCGTATCATCTCGTGTTGTTCACCATGCTAAGATATGTCCGACTGATGGCACCCAAGGACCGCAAGAGGCGGAAACTCATGGCTCGGTTTAATCCATGTTTTGTACGTAGTTGTTTGTCAAACCACCGTTGTTTTCCTAGCAAACTCAGATTCGCATGTTTGGTTGAGCGGGGCCATGGGTGAAAAATTCGCCACCCAGGCCAGTCTGGTGACTGCGGCACTGGAACTTTTTGAGGCATTGCGAGAGTTGTGGACGAGACGAGATGGTTGAGGATTTTGGGTAGTGATAGGATGATCAGTTAATATCATATCAGTTATGATTTTACCGGAACCTGTGGGTTTTGAGGGCTGACTGGTACGTACAAGCTAAATGATCTTTAGAACAGACAAAAACTTGGTGGTGTCCCATAAGACAGGTTTTGACTCCAGGCATAGATCACAGATGCAAGTATCCACGGCCTCACCCACCATCTACAAACGAACACACCACTCGCCATGGATTTGAAAAACCGATGCAAGTGACGAAGCATAGCACAAAAGTTGCGATGTCAACCGCAGAAACTACAGGCACTCTCTATACACGCTTAGGTCTCGGGACCTATACAACTTGTCTCTAGATCCGACACCAGGCACCACCATGTTAATAGGAATTTCCTACAGAAGAATGCCAAAAAAGGGTGAGGCTGAGAACCCCCCGTCAAGTGGCAGCTAGAGTTTGCGTATGTGTTTGTCATGTGCGCATCAAACAAGATGACCAGCGAGGGTTGGGGATTTCTACAGGCTTCCCTGCAAGCAAGATCTTCAAGACCGGAGGGAAGTGGGGGAATTTTGAGTTTTTTTCCATCCGGTATCCGAGCTGCATGTGTCACAACTCGCTGCATGTGTCACGAGTGGGAGATGAGTAGACCCATACAGATCCGGCCTTGGAACGGCCTCGGTCCACGGCCACCGGGGTGTCGTTTGGTCCAACGGAGGAAGTCTACTTTCATGTGGATCACCATGGATCACCCACCTAACCTTTGATGGGGGGTTCGGTTCGGTTTTCCTTTTTTTGTTCGAAGGATCTCCAGGATCCCCGGCTCTTCAGATGACTGGAACGAACCAAGGTTAAGTGACCTGGGGTATGCCATGGTAAACTTCGAATTCGGATTCTAGTGTTTGTTTAAACGTTTTTGGGGTGCTACGTTTTTTCAATACAACAACCCCCCCTGGTGTGAGGCTTTCGGCTAATTTTGGTATCGCGGACTGTTCAAGTTCACCGATCTTGCAGCCATGGAGTCTCCAGATGGGCCTCGCAACCTGAAACCTTGGTCAAACTTCATGCGTGGGAAGCTTTGTTCCGACATGCGTGTGAGCGAGCCCGCCCCAACAGCCCTACCCCCTAGTAAACACACGTAAACATTTGCCAGTTCACCCATTGGTTGGCTTTCGCTGAGGGTGATCACTACATGTCGTAGACTATCGTAGACTGAACCTGCAAAGGCCAAAAAACCATGAGTCACCGACCCATCCTCGCCCCATCCTCACGAGACGGCGCACAGACACTCAGACGCCCATGCAGGTGCTCTGCGGCGCTGTACAGGCTTTACCCCAAGATTTGCCACCAGAGGCACGGCGAGATCACTGCCAGTGGTCCAGAAGCAGGTAGCTCCTGAAAAGTAGCGTAGATATCATGCATGTTGGAAGGTGGAATTACTCTTCTGTTTCTTTGGGCGGTCACTGCATAGACATTGGGAGGGGTTTTGTGGACGCGTCCTTCAAATGTGTTACGCTGTTGCAGGAACAGAGTAGAGTTATTTATATAAGCGGTCTTTTTGGCCACGGTGTCTTTTTCAACTGGGCCACAAGTAGTAGAATTTTACCCCACCATACCCCATGTAGATAGCAAAAGATAGCAAAAGATATTCGGGGCATCCAGCAGCGCATCCAGCCTCCAAAGCGCGCACTGCCATAAACATTTGGCAACAGCACCCTGCAGCGGCACTTTGCAGCGCCCTCCAGCAGCACCAGCACCCAGACTCCGAAGTGCACAGAGCCAAAGACATCTTCCTAACCCCAACTCTCGCTATTTGGGGAAATGCAACAAATCGTGAGTCCATCATGAACTTTAGGAGTGGCATCAGGTCCACTAACTACTGAATGAATCAGTCGCAACCGACTTCAATGAAATCAAGCACCCCGATGATTCAATTCAAGTAATGACATTCCACCCTTTGAGGTATGCTGGATGAAAAGGGGATTGGTTGGTGATTTGATGTTGTTTGTTGATTTTCTGATCCTTCCTCCACTTGGAACCCCGTCTCGCTGTGGGGCCTCCCACCGCTCTTGGCGGTCACCAGGCCTTCATGGACGGTTTGCGTCAACGCTGGCGTTTGGGGGACTCTGAGGATGGTCTCTGGGGTCATCGAGGGTCATCTCTGTGGCGGTTGAGACGGTTGCCAACTGGGTCATGGCACCAGGGACCCCTCGTGGCACCAGTGGACCCTCATGGGGGACCGACCGGATGACCACGGGTCAAGTGAAGAACAAGCAGAATGCAGCCAGATGTGATCAACCTACCAGGGTTGGTTTGGGGCTCCAGGTGTTCACTCGCCACACTGTGATTCTGAAGTCTGTGATGGACATCTGCAAGTTCCTCTTCATGGTGGGTTTTCGGAAGTTCTTTTGAGGGTGGTGTCTTGTTTTTGAGTACCGGTGGATCCTGACCAAGTAGTTACTGTATCAGCTTTTCTGACCAATGATTCCAAGGATCAGTAGATGGGATTCGCTTGAGGAAGACGAGGAAACAAGTGACAAATTGGACAGAGCAAGTTGCATGACCCAACGTTGGGTGCAGTCAATCCTCGGAAGAATCCGATGCAGGATGTATCTACATGTCCCCTGATTGCTCGATGAGCAGCCAATACATCGGCGGCGGTGAGCAGACTGGGAAGCACAAGTTCAGTTGCCAGATTTTGAATTGCAGGACTGAGTTCTGGAAGCTGATAGCGAGGGACTACTCTGAGTCTTTTGGCAAGAGATTGCAAGAGTGCATGATCGAATGACACTTGCATTCGATTCGATTCGATCATGCCACCTGGAATTCACGCTGCTTGAGCAGTTCCTTGATTTCTTCAACACCCTGGTCAACAATACGAAGTCTCTCCAGTACGGATAGATCAACCTTGTATTTTTGTCCAGGGCTCTTGGTGAAGACTACACAAGTACCTAGTTGGGACACCCCTCACATCTTTAGGAACAGCTGATCCCCAGACCAAGGAGTACCAGGAGTGGCAGGATGGCTCAGTCCGACGGTACAGAGCTTACTGAGTTGCTGAGTTGCTGGAACTGTCGTTGAGAGAATGCCCATCCTCGATCCACTCTACAGACTCGTATGTCGGTTCAGCTGCAAGGCTCAAGATCAAACCGTGTCATTGGGCCGCAGAGCCGCAGAGCGTGAGAAGGTGTCGAGGATATCGCCGTGCTGGAGGAGAGACAGTGAGACGGTGTGAGAAGCTGCACAGGATGACAAAGAGCGTGGTAACTACAGAACCCATGCAGTGCTGCTACAAGGTTGGATGTGGACAGTACAGCAAGTAACACTGGAATCACAGCTGAGCTCAGCTGAACAGAACCTCCTCGAGCTGATCTAGGAATACTTTGGACATCCATGTGATCTCGAATCTTGAGCTTGTCAAGATATCGGAGGATTGAAGCCAGGTGTCTTGGTCGGAGGCACGCAGCCTTGTAGGTGTCCTCGCAGCCCTCGTTGGAGTACACCATGGAAGTGGAAAAAGAGCCACCTGTTTGGTATTCGGAACAGGGTCATCAAACGGGCCATGCCATCATTTGCCATGATTGTTCCTGGGCGTGTACCAAATACCCTCACTCTGCTGTGAACGCTTGGTGGTCGATAATGGTCTTTTGATACCGTTTGACATAGTATACGACTCGGTAGCTCTTCGCTTCGACAGATTCTTCCTCCCTGCACCCCGGTCACGACCTCCTCCTTCGGCACCGGCGCTCTTGGTCCACCGTTTTGCTTTGGCACCGGCGCTCCACATCGCTCCACTCCGGTTTCGCCGCAGGAGGAGAAAGGCTGGGAGGCCTGCGCCGCCCAGGCAGCGGAGCTCTTCCGACTGAAGGCGCACATCGGTGACAAAGCACATCGGGTGGGGGCGGGGCGAGCTCAGGAGCTCTGGAGGCCTTCTTGGTCAGCAGGGAGGAGGTCTGCTGAGTCGGAACTCCAAGGAGGTGAGGAAATCCCACCCATCGCTTTACACAACTCACTCACACCTCACAGACCAGCTATTCAATGTTGGGTCATGAGACCTGCAGGCGCAGCATTTACGGACCTGTGCAGGTTTGGATGCCGGACCAAGCAATGTGTATAAGGGAGCGCAGGGTATAAGACATTAATCTTCATGAAAGTGGTGCAGAATTTCTTCCGTCAACTGTATAGAACAAACGCTGCCAAGCTATCAAACGATGCCGTCTCGACTCTAGACTCTTGATTGTATTTCAACCCTCCAAAGCCTGAAGAGGTTTTACAATCCATGGCCGACATGTCTGGGGGAAATTGGGATAATCAATGTTGTTTCTATTTAGAATCAATCAAGAGTCTACATTGTCCGAGCGGATCCCAGTTGCCACTATCTCAGGTCTCAGGAACCAGGATGTTCTTTTAAGTCTATACGGTTTTAGTCTGGAACTTCCTGCAACCACTGGGACTCCCAGCGACAAACCCTTGGGAAAGTGCTCAAGTCTTTGGGGGTACACATGTTGTGGACAGGTTTCGATTCTGCCCGGCCCAAGAACATATGAGCAGAAGGGCGCCCGTGTTGCCCGTGTTGTAGAGCGAAAAAGCTTCCATGATGCTCTGCGCGAAAAATCTTCCCCTTGATGTTCCTGGAAGGTTAAGCTTCGGTGGACGGTGGTTACTTGAGGGACTTGGGTTCTTACGTTGAGGTCCCGAAATATGTTGCTCTAACACAGACAGAGAGACACAAAGCTTCCAGATGTGATGCAAAAATGTTCCTCCTGCTCCAGCAGCAGAGCTCCAGGGCCTTCCCATAAATGCTGAAGCCACCATTATTGGAACCTTCGCGCTGGGGTGGATGATGGGTAGATGTACTTGCTCTTGATGGAATAATATACCCTTCATTGCCTTGCTCAGTGAAAAGCAGTCTTAAGTGTCTTGGAGGTGCCAGCTGCATTTTTTGAAGCATAATGACCAATTTAATCCTCCGCATACCGTTCCCAAGTCCCCCTCAGAATAGCAGCATGTGGCGAGAATCTTCGCTCCGCGATTTGTTTTTGAGGACACTGTGGCCTCCCTCTATGCCTGGGGCCTTCTGCCGAGGTTTCTTTCTGACGTGGTTTTGGTGATTGATGTGGTGGGAGGGATGAGCGTGAAAGTACCCTAGCACCAAGGGTGACCATATCAGTTTGTTTTTTGTTTGTTTCCGTGTATCCAGGAGTGATTGTAAGACAACTGTGAACTTTGAGACCTCTCAACATGAATAGAATTCACGCTCCTTGAGACCTGAATCGAAAATGCCATTTGGTCTTTAATAGATAGATCTATATATAATTTACTATAATTGTTGTTCGATCACTCATGCTGAATTTGTGCCGGAAACCAGCAGTTTTTACCATCACTTCGGTAAGGATTTGACCAAATCTATGGTGTTGGTCGGCCCCCACTGGTTCCTTTCGCCCGTCGCCACGGGCTTTCGGGGGCGACGGTTCTCCCCAAGGACTAAGGACGGGCGGTTCGACCATCGATTTGGTTCGCATGTCCATGTGAGATCGACAAAGGCACCGAAGGGACAGGTGGCCGGAGTCGAAGAGTCAGAGAATCCTCAGGGATTGAGGAACCCAAGAGATGGACCGACCACCTGATTTTGGGGCTCGAGGCTTCGAGGCTTGAGGGTGTCCCAGCGGTGAGGTCGGAATTCTTCCATGTTCTTCATTGATTTGTGGGTCAAAGATGGTCAAAGTCAATCAGGGTTCTAAAAGCATCTACTGTAAAAACAAGCTGTTTGGCTGTTTGGTTTCTGGATGTCTAGAGGGCTGCAGGCTGGAGGATTTGCTGTCATTCACTTCTGCTATAGAGCAGAATCCGCTAGAGCCAGGAGGAAAACCTGTTGGCCATACGATGTCCTTCCTACATACGACACATAATACACTTATACAGCTAGCATTCAAAAGCTTTCTAGTTATTCGCGTTGAGAGGGAAGCACCCTTCTGAGCAGATAGCCTGCAATGCAACAAACTGCACTGGGGCTTCGCTTGGGGATTTATGTCTATCAAGGCCTCCTTTCACAAGAATCCAACTCCCGGCAGACGTCGGCCGAAGTGGAGGCCAAACATCACTGGCCAAGCATCGTACAAACCATGTTGGATCATTTAGAAAAGACTAAGTTGAAAAATGTCCAACAGCTTCTTTAAAGTGAGAACTGTTTGTGTTCCCAGGCCCTAAGCGACCTCTTCTACACAGCTCCAGTTGGTTCCGGAATTCTTAGGGCGTTGGCGGGTCTTTTTCAGCAGACAGCTGATCTGGACTGCCGTTCCACCCGTCACCGCGGTTCCGCCAGGAAAACCGGTCGTCAACTCCTCGATGCCATGACGCAGGAGATGAAGATGGCGGGGGCCGACTCAGTCGGGGCAGAAGCGGTGTCCGGTTCGCATCGAAAGCGTCAACTTCACGGCGAGAAAGTCCTGTTCTTCTTGGGTCCTTTTGGAAAGGAAGCACCGTTTTTTCCCGAAAGCATTGCAAAGGGTTCTTCCGGAAAATCCTTTGAACACTGACACTTCGACACTTACACTCAGACACACCTAGACATTGACACTTTCACCACACTTGCAGGATAACATGAACGCTATACGTAGCCCTGTGTAAGTGGAAGAGCGAAAGCTGTCAAAGTATGCAAGTGGAAGTATGCAAGTGTAAGTATGCAAGTGATGAGTATGCAAGCATGCAATGAGTAGGCAAGTGAACTAGCACGGGAGATGTCCTAATGAAAAAACATTTCCCCACTGTATAAATTCTCTCTTAAAGGCGGAGGGTGGGACGAACAGCGTCAACCGAAAGTGCAACCCTCTGCGGAGATCGTGCGTGTCGAGTGCGCGAAATGCAGGCGAGAGTGCGATGTGTCCGGTCCGCCCGCAACCCTCTGCGGAGATCGTGCGTGTCGAGTGCGCGAAATGCAGGCGAGAGTGCGATTTGTCCGGTCCGCGCGCAACCCTCTGCGGAGATCCTGCGTGTCGAGTGCTCGAAATGCAGGCGAGAGTGCGATTCGCCGGGTGCCCGCGCAACCCTCTGCGGAGATCGTGCGTGTCGAGTGCACGAAACGCAGGCGAGAGTCCGATTTGCCGGGTGCCCGCGCAACCCTCTGCGGAGATCGTGCGTGTCGAGTACGCGAAATGCAGGCGAGAGTGCGATGTGCCGGGTGCCCGCGCGACCCTCTGCGGAGATCGTACGTGTCGAGTGCGCGAAATGCAGGCGAGAGTGCGATTTGGCGGCTGCCCGCACGACCCTCTGCGGAGATCGTGCGTGTCGAGTGCGCGAAATGCAGGCGAGAGGGGGATTTGCCGGCTGCCCGCGCAACCCTCTGCGGAGATCGTGCGTGTCGAGTGCGCGAAACGCAGGCGAGAGTGCGATTTGGTACACAACTCTAGTACGCAGAGTAGCTGGGGAGCTGGAAGCTGAGAACTGGCGACGTGGTATCATAGGGTGATAAGGGGAGGGTGGCAGGGGGAGGGTAGGAAAACATAAATTTTCAGAGGATTGAGAAATGGAATAGGTAAACCCTATCAATCACAGATTTTGCTTGCTAAGGACTAGTAAGCCTTGCTAGCGCCTAGTAGCCCCTACTAATGCCTAGTAGGCATGACTAGTGCCTAGTAGTGTTTATTAGTGCTTATTCCACCTACACCTAATTGAAGGTAACTAAGGCCTAGTAGTGGTCATTAAGAGGCACTAAGGCTGCCCAACTTCGATTCAGTGTTTCTGAGCTAAAGCAGACAGGTGAAGATGTTAAGGCGCCAGTTTGGATCAAACTGCAATGAGTGGTTTCCTAGACTGTAAAGAGTGATCACCCATCACACAGCCTCATTTGGACAGAGCACCCAGTTCCACCTCTCCGAGAACCACGAACCAAAAAGGGTCAGCAGGGTGAACAGAACAGTTTGTTCCTTGAGAAAACATTGCCGACCTCTATGTGTGTGTCACTTCTGCTGACCTGCATCTTGATGCCAAAAAGGAAGCCTGAGGACAAGGAAGATGCTGTGAAGGTATGGCGCACTTTGATCGAGAAGGTTGGTGCGACACTTGAGGGTGAACAGCATGTGTTGCTGAGGGGTTCGACTCAATATGGCGCACAGGAGTTCTTCGCTAGATTTCACCATGGAGGCAAAGTTGATTCCAGACTGTGGAGTCAAGAACTGGACACCCTCATAAAGCCTTACTGGAACCAAGCTCTCATTGATCCCAGATGTTGCTGGGTCACATCACACTTTGAGAACCCACATGTGGCAGATGTGATTTTGTTCAGCCTCATGCCCATCCCAGCAGCTTTTCGTCGGAACGATGCTGATAATTTGAGAACGTTCCAGAGAGCTATGGAGAAACCAATGTGCTTCATGATTGGTTTTTTGGCCAGGCAATTGGAAAAGCACATTGTGTCCGTGACCCAACCACCGAATCATAGCTTTGACACTAGAAAGAGGCAAATCATGCAGACTGGCAACGCAAACAAAAGACAGAGGATCTCTACAACAACCTGCTATGAAATTGTTGCCAAAGCGTTGGACAAACTCTATGCAAAGGAAGTTGTTTGGAATGATTAGAAAACAAGTTTTTTCTTTCTACGTATGCACCTTCACAGTAGAAAACAACACCTTTTGCAGTTTGGCTGCTTCTCTAAATTTAAACTTGACAAACACCAACGCATGGCTGAGGTTAAATCCATCAGGCGTGCATTGGACCTTTCTGGAGGGGTTTCGATGCCTGTGCCCCACGCATCAGCCATGTTCAGCGTTCGGCACTCAGAGATTTCCATTTTTGCATCCGCAAAATCTTCACTGCTGTATCGAGGCTGTGATGGCAGCTCGAGCAAAGGCTGAGTTCGAAGGTCAGCGGCATTTGCACGCATGACTGGCCTGTGTTATCATGTTTGGCAAGAAGAATCTAGTTTTTGTGACAGAGGTTGGATTGATTAATGTTGACTCTGACTCTGTAATTGAAGAGTTCTCATTCTTCGGTCGTGTTCAACCATTCACTTTGACAATCCTTCCTGCCAGCTGCTCTTCGATGGCTCTGACATCGCTGGCAAGCCCCATGAACTCATCCAGGCTGGACAGCTGACAAACCAAAACAAACACATGTCAATGCACCATGCACTAAAACCCAATCAAAACCAATCAGAGGTTCCCTCAGTCAGTCAGTATTGGCTGTAACCATCTAATCAAGTAAGCCTTTACTTTTGCAGTTCACAACATCTGCAGGTTTGGAGTCCATGGTTGCAGTTGGGCGCCTTTGCGCCACCACTGGCGTGAACCCAAGGTGCTAGCATTGCATCTCTTCTACAAGACAGGTGCTAGCATTGCATCTGTTTGCATCTCTTCTTGATCATCCTGATTGAACTTGATGTTTGCGGTTTAGAGAAGAATACTCCAGTTATATTTATATATATATATATACATATTGCTTCATGGATGCAATCTGTGACCTGTCTTGTGCTGATGCTTCTTTCAACTACTGATCTCAAGTGAACGAGATTCAGGAACAGGAGCGACATCTTTGGCGACCTACGATGCCAAAACAGTTATGTATAATTATAGAACATATAGATTATCATATGTATTATTTTTCAAGTGTCCACCGCTCTTCCTGCCACCATGTCGGTGTCAGACTCCGGCTGTGGCTTCAGCAGGATCACCCCCAGCGGCACCTCAGATCAGGATATGGATGTCGACTGGGAATGTCACCCTAGCCAAGACACTGCCAGCAGTAGCCTATCGGATCTACAAAGCTTTGAGGCTATATGGTGCTAAAGTATGTGTTATGGAAACATACGTTTCATGTGATAGTCTGTGATAGTGTAAAAGTCAGAGTTATATAGTTTTTTGTTCTAAATCCAGGACTGTAAGCGTATATTATATCGTCTCTGAGTCTAAGTACTGGCCACAACAACTTCGTCGCAGGTCGGCGTTGCAGAATCCCCACTTGGCCGAGCAGCACGCTGTGTCCACGTTGCAGTGGGCCTGGTGCATCAGGAAATCCCTTCAGCGTATTTGAAGAGAAGTCTTTTGGCACAGGGACGTTCCATGTCTAGCTCGTGCACGGGTGTTTACACAGTGGAGGTATCTATGGCTCTTGTTCAGAAGATCTGCAATAGCTCTGGAGTGTTTGATTTCAGAGTCGATGTGGAACCCTACAGCTGCCATGACTTTTGTTTCAAAGAACAGGCTTTGATAACATTGTAAAAATTGACTTTGCCATGCTAGAATGATTTTGCATGGACAATGATTCAATATATGTATTTTTGTTAAAACTAAGTGTGTTGGTAAACTGATGAGCTCACAAAGAAACGTCGCCACTGACACAGACTAGTGACTTAGGAACTCGATGTCCATTGCAGACAAGCTATTGTGGACAACCACAACTGGGTGCAGCAGTGGGCGGACAGAAAATACTCCAGGCCTCATGTCTTTGGCGACGTCGTTGAGCAGGTGCCTGCCCAGCGGATCTCAAAGTCTTTAGCTTTTCGTCCACGGCGGGAACAAGTAGAAACACTGCCGCTGCTAGAGAAGCAATGGTGCTTCACCCATGGCACATACTGTCAGAATGGTGTAGCCAGAGTGGATGTTGACTTTTCAGGGCTGCCGTGTCAGGACATGAGCACCGCAAATGTGAACAGGCAGTTCTTTGAAGGGCCCAATGGCACATGCTATATAGTCTGGGCAAGGCGTCATCGCATTCAGCGAACACCTCTCTTGATACTTGAAAACGTTCGCGACACTTGGTCATTCATTATTTTTATTTATATCCCGCTGTGCTTTGTCATTTGTGAAACACACATCTCTGAGACAAGTGACTCAAGGCTACCCAGAAAAACAGCACAAACAATGCCACCGTTTGAGACTTGAGTTGTGCGTTTGAAAGAACAATTTCCATATTGTTCCCATGGTAAGGACATTCCGCTATCCGACGTCCAATACCTCTTGCCTGAGTACTTCCTCTACCAGCTCATGGTTTCACCGGAGGACATTGGACACACAGCTGTTGCAAGAAACCGGACCTACATCTACTGCTGTCATTCAGAGACAGGCGTGTACCTCTTTGATGTGCACGACATGTACAACAGAGTCAAGAGGCACATGGCCAAGAGTGGTGTCCAAACAGCATGCGCAGACTACTTTGTGTCTGGCTCTCTCCAACAGACAGTCCACTTAGAGTCCATCGCCCGTTCCAGGAAACAGGATGAACCTCGTCAAAAAAAATTACATCAACAACGTTTTGATTTGATTGGGCTTCGTGATTCTTGAAGCTTGAGGCTTCTGGAAATGACACAATACAGTGACTGGGTGAGAACTTTTCCTAAGGATTGGTCTTCGAACGACGTCTTCAAACTCCTGAACCG